TGTTTGGTTTATTGAATGATTGCAAGGTGTACATGTATTTCTTGTTTGGTTTATCTGACCTTGACCTCATTTTCTTTGATCATGTTAAGTTTATGTGTTACTTGTAGTAAAGCTTTATATTTAGGACTATCAACATAAAATCAATGGTTAGTAAAGAAGGCGAGACATTTCAGCGTGTGCACTCTTGTTTCAAACTAACTTTCTTGAAAGTGTTTTTTTTTCAAAAGATTGTGGCTACTTATTACCAAACCACAGGTCATGTGGAAACAACAGTAATTCTAAGTCCTTTAATTTGATGAGTTCAGATATATTTTTTGGTATTTTGTATTTTTTTTCACTATCTCACTATAAGAGCTGAAACTTTAGCTTCACTGTTTATGATATATCTCCTTGTCTATTGTTATAATATATTGTTGATGCTGGCTGGGACTTTTATCATTGTAATATATTGGTTAGCAACTACTCTGTGTGCAGCTGTAATATTTTGTTTATGATTCTATGATGTATTGCTGTAATATTGTTTATGCTTTTTATCTTTGTGTTGTTTTGATTTATTGTGTACTGATGTAATAGTATTTGTCCTTGAGTTTATTCCATTCTGTATTGTTGTATTATACAGTAAATACTGTTAGATTCTATGTTGATACATGGAAATTTATTCAGATTAAGCCTACTCATTCAGAACAAGAGTTGACCTTTGAATTTGACTATTTTTTATGAATCTTTTGGTCACATACATTCTCTGGTATTTTATTTAATCTTTAACAATTTAATCACTATTTCAAAAGAAAATCTTAAAACGAAGGGTCCTATTGCTGTTAATGGACCATTTGGTCGTCTCTCAAAATGTAAATGGACGCTAACCCTTTTCTATTACCTTTTGCAATGATATATTCTGCTGAGTGAAAATGCTATTTATAGTGAAATTTTTCTTGAAATGCATTTTCTTTGTTACTGGTTGATTTTTATTTTGTGTGGGTATTAACTATATATTCTACAAATTAACTCTATTATTTATTTACTGTAAGTTTGATATTATAAATATTATTAATTTCTCGTGAAGTTCTTGCTCCCTGACTGATGAACCTTTGTGTTCCCATTTTCAGAAATATGTAGAATTATTGTTGTAAATTCTGGAAATGGGAGACCCTGGCAGGAACTTCTTGTCACATTAACTGCTGTCTACAAAAACATTTTTATCGACTTTAAACTATAAAATGCAAGTGATTTTTAAGTACAAGAAATCTTTGTTTAGAAAAATACCAAGACAGCTTTAAATGTGGCTCAATACATGTCCATGTTTGATGGGATTATATTTATAAATAACATCTTTACATTTCAATTATTATGTTGCCCTGAAGTTCTGAACATGTTTGCCACTGATTGTTAAACAACAAACAATCGATCAATTAAAATAAGTATTATCCAAAGGTAGCACCCCTTAAATCTGGGCATGTATAAAATGGGTCGAAACTTTCTTGGTGACATCATTTGGAGATTTGATAATCAAACAGTTATATGCCTTTTAACTATATGTGTAAAGAAGACATGACTTGAATTTTGATTAACCTATATTGTTTGAAACTAATACTAAAAATAAGTGTTTTCAACCAGTCTTCATAAACAGCCAGTCTATCTTAATGGTCATTCTTTATATTAAAATTTCTGTCACCAGGAAGGTCTCAGGGATTTGAAAAGTATTACTGCTAAGTTTGATCATTTTTTTATAAAAAATGTTTGTAATATTTAAATATATGTATATATGATGAGTTGAAAAAATATAGCTAGAAGTCATAACAAGACAATGGGTGTTTGATCATATGAGCTACTTGGGTAATGGCAATGTGTGTATGATAACATATTATTATAAAAGTCATAATCCAGGTACTCAGATAAAGGTCAATGCCAACAAATGATCATAGAAATCATAATCCAGCTACCCGGATAATGGGTTTATGAAAACAAATGATTAAAAAAATCATAATCCAGCTACCCAGATAAAGGTCAATGCCAACATATGATCATATAAGTCATAATCAAGCTACCCGGATAAAGGTCAATGCCAACAAATGATCATAGAAATCATAATCAAGCTACCCGGATAATGTGTATATGATAACATATTCTTATAAAAGTCATAATCCAGCTACCCAGATAAAGGTCAATGCCAACATATGATCATATAAGTCATAATCCAGCTACCCAGATAAAGGTCAATGCCAACATATGATCATAGAAATCATAATCAAGCTACCTGGATAATGTGTATATGATAACATATTCTTATAAAAGTCATAATCCAGCTACCCAGATAAAGGTCAATGCCAACATATGATCATATAAGTCATAATCAAGCTACCCAGATAAAGGTCAATGCCAACAAATGATCATAGAAATCATAATCCAGCTACCCGGATAATGGGTTTAAGATAACAAATGATTATAAAAATCATATTCCAGCTACCTACGATAAAGGTCAATGCCAACATATGATCATAGAAATCATAATCCAGCTACCCGGATAATGTGTATATGATAACAATTGATTATAAAAGTCATAATCCAGCTACCCGGATAAAGGTCAATGCCAACATATGATCATAGAAATCATAATCCAGCTACCCAGATAATGTGTATATGATAACAAATGATTATAAAAGTCATAATCCAGCTATCCAGATAAAGGTCAATGCAAACATATGATCATAGAAATCATAATCCAGCTACCTGGATAATGTGTATATGATAACAAATGATTATAAAAGTCATAATCCAGCTACCCGGATAAAGGTCAATGCCAACATATGATCATAGAAATCGTAATCCAGCTACCTGGATAATGTGTATATGATAACAAATGATTATAAAAGTCATAATCCAGCTTCCCAGATAAAGGTAAATGCAAACATATAGACATAGAAATCATAATCAAGCTACCTGGATAAAGGTCAATGCCAACATATGATCATATAAATCATAATCCAGCTACCCAGATAATGTGTATATGATAACAAATGATTATAAAAGTCATAATCCAGCTACCCAGATAAAGGTCAATGCAAACATATGATCATAGAAATCATAATCCAGCTACCCGGATAATGTGTATATGATAACAAATGATTATAAAAGTCATAATCCAGCTTCCCAGATAAAGGTAAATGCAAACATATGGTCATAGAAATCATAATCAAGCTACCTGGATAAAGGTCAATGCCAACATATGATCATATAAATCATAATCCAGCTACCCAGATAATGTGTATATGATAACAAATGATTATAAAAGTCATAATCCAGCTACCCAGATAAAGGTCAATGCAAACATATGATCATAGAAATCATAATCCAGCTACCCGGATAATGTGTATATGATAACAAATGATTATAAAAGTCATAATCCAGCTACCCGGATAAAGGTCAATGCCAACATATGATCATAGAAATCATAATCCAGCTACCCGGATAATGGGTTTATGAAAACAAATGATTATAAAAATCATAATCCAGCTACTCAGATAAAGGTAAATTCCAACATATTATCATATAAATCATAATCCAGCTACCCAGATAAAGGTCAATGCCAACAAATGATCATATAAATCATAATCCAGCTACCCAGATAATATGTATATGATAACATATTATTATAAAAGTCATAATCCAGCTACCCAGATAAAGGTCAATGCAAACATATGATGATAGAAATCATAATCCAGCTACCCAGAAAATTTGTTTATGATAACAAATGATTATAAAAGTCATAATCCAGCTACCCAGATAAAGGTCAATGTCAACATATGATTATAGAAATCATAATCCAGCTACACGGATAATGGGTTTATGAAAACAAATGATTATAAAAATCATAATCAAGCTACCAGGATAAAGGTCAATGCCAACAAATGATCATAGAAATCATAATCCAGCTACCCAGATAATGGGTTTATGAAAACAAATGATTATAAAAATCTTAATCCAGCTACCCAGATAAAGGTTAATTCCAACATATGATCATATAATCATAATCCAGCTACCCGGATAAAGGTCAATGCCAACAAATGATCATAGAAATCATAATCCAGCTACACGGATAATGGGTTTGATAGAGGGTTCCTTGGTTTGTTTTTTTCTTTTATATTAAAATAAGTTAACAAACAACATTTTTGTTACACTAATAACATGTTACAAGTTTTTTAATGTTTCATATACACTGCTCCAGTCTTGAGACTATCATTTCCATCCAATGTTTTTTCAAATTACGATCTGGATGTAGACCATCACAAAGTTTATTGTATGAATAAACACTTCCTCTCCTTCCTCTGTGCTGTCTAAGGGCCCTATGCAAGGGTATGTGAACTTGAGTTTCTTTCTCGTTAAAGTCATTTATAAAGTCCTCATTAATTCTGGATACAAAATTTTCAAAAGATTGCTGGTGATTATGGGTTATAGTTCCTAATTTTTCACTCTTATGAGGATATTTTCTTATGGTTCGTTGTAATTCTTTTGGGGGTATTGTTGCAATTACCACTTTTGCGTTAAAAGCCACCGTCTTCACTGCTGTTTCAATTTGGTTAAACTTCTTGACGATTCGTTTGTATAATATATTTAAATCCTCTCCAGTTCTACCATAAATGTCCTCAGGGATGTTATTTATTCCGACACTCAGAAACACCACAACGCGGTTCTGCTTGCAAAGTTTTTCAAATCTTTCACTCCTCACGTATCGCTTAACGTCACCCAACTTCAAACCAGGAACACAGTGATAGTTTATTCTTCTTACAATATTTCTATTCGATCCCAAATTAATTCTTTCAACGCCACACAATCTAGAATCGCTAATAAAAATTACCTTCATTTAACAGTACAAATATTATGTATACAAATACTTTTTATATCTCAATATTGAAGAGTTACAGAATAAGACTAAAATCCAAAACCAAAAACGGGGATTTTTCCGGATCTGGCTAGCTGCCATAGGATCTAAGGTCCACCTACACAAGTACTGTTTGGACTTCGTGCAGTGTTTAAAACTGGAACTCACTTGACAGGATAACAAAATGGCAAACAGAGACAAAGCAACAAACCAACTTCTCAATTTCAAAGAATCACAGACGGTATGCTCTTTATTTACAAGTAATTTACCGTGATAATTAGTGTCTACTTTGGAACTGTTGAGTGTTGTTAGCAGTACCCAACTGTTTGCAGGACATGGTATACTGCACTTCTTACATTACATAAAAATACATAACTTTCAAATAGGCCTATTGACGGTGTTGGAGAGCTGTTTTGAAGCTCTCAACTGACTTGGCACACACTATATCTTCTTCCAGTTGGTTCCAATGAATCAGTCTTAAGGTTTATGACTCCTTCTGTGGCCTGTCAATTACGAAATTTTCAAACTGCAATAGTATCAAAACAGCAAAGACAATGAATAATAGCAGTGATTGGGAAGGACGTGCGCCTTGCGCCAATTGCTCTTATCGACCAGAAATGGCGCATAGAGTGACAAATGTAAGCGCCCACGTGGCGCATGATATTTTTCACTTCGTTTTGAAACGTTGCGATATCGTCAAATGGATTTCCGATCGTATTTCGTGCCGCCATGTGTGAGTACACAGCTGTGTAGTGTTTACTCCAGTGATAGGAGCACCTTAGCCTGGCATCCTGACCCAATCTAATACTTCGTCTACTGTCAAGCAGTTGGCCAGGATCCCAGGCTAAGGAGCACCTATATATTTTTGGGACGTCTCGGGTGTTTTCCTATGGTAATAATAGCAACATGCGGTATGACTGATTACCCAAAAAACGTAATTAACCATCATTCATGATATTTTTTTATAAACAACTTTAAATTTGTGAAAATTGGCTAGTACAGGCGAGAATTCTTCTCTAATTATAATCTTTTAAGTAAGCTTGCTACTATTTCGATTGAAAAACCCAAAAGCCTTTTTATGAATAGCATGGTATTTGTCTCCATAAAAGGGGCTTAACTGTCCTTGTCATTTTTTTTTTGTCTTTGGCTCGTTTTGACATTTTGTAAACATGCCTTCAGTGAATTGTTGTTGTGTCTTATCAACTAACGTTGCTCCCTACTGTTATTCTTGTCATCGTGATGAAGTAATAATAATACAAGCGCAGAGGAAATGCCAGAAACTTCCTCTAATACGGAACGTCAGGAATAAGTATGGTATCGACGAAGACCCAAATTTAATGTAAAAAAAATCGTAAGAATTCCGCAGAACCCAGTGTCTTGCCTACTTTTGCTGTTAATCGCAGGCTCAACAAAAATGAGGAAAAAAATTAATAAAAATATTCCTCTCTGTACTCTCTTTTGATTGTAAGTAGCTTCTGTCCAAGTTTGGTAAAAATCCAGGATAGTTTATGAATCTAATAAATGTTTTAAAAACTTAAACTGCAGACTGTATATATGTAATGTTAACTTGAAGAAAAACTAAGTCCATTTATAAGTAAAATACGGAAAAAATGGAATAAAATTTTAACAAAATTTCCTTCTAGATACTAGCTTTTAATCATAAACAAGCTTCTGTCCAAGTTTGGTACAAATCCAAGATAGTTTAAGAAAGTTGTTAAAATTTTAAAAACTTTAACCACAGAGTGAATGTAATGTTAACTGGCAGAAAAACTAAGTCCATTTATAAGTAAAATACTGAAAAAATGACTTTTTTTTTACAAAATTTACTTCTGGAAACTATCTTATGATCATAAACAAGCTTCTTTCCAAGTTTGGTAGAAATCCAGGATAGTTTAAGATAGTTTTAAAATTTCAAAAACTTTAACCACAGAGTGAATGTAATGTTTCCTGGCAGAAAAACTAAGTCCATTTATCAGTAAAATACGGAAGAAATAGATTTTTTGTTTTACAAAATTTACTTTTGGATATTATCTTATGATCATAAACAAGCTTCTGTCCAAGTTTGGTAGAAATCCAGGATAGTTTAAGAAAGTTATTAAAATTGCAAAAACTTTAACCACAGACATGACAGAGTGAATATTTGTGGATGCCACCGACGACAACGACGGAATGTAGGATCGCTATGTCTCGCTTTTTCGACAAAAGTCGAAGGCTCGACAAAAACATGAACATGAACAAGGGAACAGTACCAGTTTTAACATTGTAAATAAAGGTTATCGTAAATATTGCCCGGTTTGGAAGAAGTTATTGTATATTCATTGAAATTGAAATTACAAAATCACAGGAACAATATCCATGATATTAATTAGAATCATACATGTCATACTTGTAAGTACAGTGAAATATACGCTTTTTTAATTTTTGTTTTTATTGTAAACGAATGGCCCACTCATTTGACAACATGGCCCATTAATTCTAAAAATGGCCCGTTGAATTTATTTTTGGGGGGCCCTGGGCCCATAGAGAAAAAATCCTTCCAGATCACTGAATAGTGATGGACCATTTTGTACATATATCAAGGGGAAACTTCGTGCAAAGCATTATTATTTATAGTTTAATTGCATTTAGTAGAAAAAGAGAATTTGGTGAAAATAAAACCAAGATTTTTGTAGAAAATCCACAGACTTTAATACAGAGATTTATGTTATAAAATTTTAAACATAGATTACTCACTTGTTTTTCTATGATCAGCTAGCATTTATTGTTTACAAAAAGTCTTAAACAACCTTTAAATTCCAAAACACCTCGTGCTGAGTCACCAAAGTCGAGCGCACTCTAAAACTAAAGGTGTACTTGAATTGGTCCATATTTATATTTGTTTTAACCAATATCTAAATTTATAAACTTGTTTTAAGGAAATCATTGCTAGCACTGCATGCAATAATCCTCTATCTATCAAGCATCGAATTGCCAAATATGAGAGTACAAGGGGAAAGGCTGTGGATTTTCTATAAAATTTCCATATGTTGAGCATTGAATCGACACAAGGGTACATAATCCTTAATGAAGATTGAGTTCTTTAATTGCTCGATTTTGCAGTTTGTTGTATCAATTGCCTTTGAGTTGTTCTTAACCAAGTTGTTTACTATATATTAGTGCTTTCAAAGTCTACAAAGCGTTTCGGCTTGATAATCCTTTTGGTTTTGCTTTTTACCAAAAATTTGTCAGGTTTGATAGCTGGGACCAAACCCTCAACATTTTTGTACAGAAATACCAGTCTTTGGCTTGTTCTTCTGGACTGCAGGTTTTCTAGTTCCAGTACGGTAAGCATTTTGGTGACCGATCCTTCTTCTATAGATTTGTAATCCCCTGTGATGAAACATGCTGCTCTACACTGGATCCTTTCTAGTTGGTTAATGTTGTTTGTTGTATATGGGTCCCATACAATGGCCCCATATTCCATTCTAGATCTTACCAATGAGATGCAGGCTGTTTTCTTGCAGTCTTTTGGGTAGCATCTTAGGTTGCGTCTTAGAAAGCCAAGTGTTGAATTTGCTTTCTTGGCTACATTTGAAATGTGGGTGGCCCATTTTAGATCTTCTGATATCTAGCCCCAGGTATGGATTGTGTTGGACTTGTTGGAGTATGTGTCCATCGAGGGTGTAGAATTTCTGGCTTTTGTTCTTAATGCTCAGGATGTAACATTTCTTCATGTTAAAGAGCATACCCCAATCTTTGGCCCATTTTTCTATGCTTACCAGATCTTGTTGTAGTAGAGTGTGGTCAAGTTGTGTGGTCAAGTTGTTTTTTTATGTTTCTGTATATAGCAGACAATCATCAGCAAAAAGTGTAATGGTTGATTTTACTGCATCTGGCAGGTCGATGATATGACAGAGGAAGAGAAGGGGTCAGAGTATGGTTCCTTGTGGAACTCCTGAATCCACAGTAGCTTCATCAGATTCCTCTCACACCATATTCATCTAGTTTGTGTAATTATTTGTTGTGTAGCATGGTGTCCTTGAGGATTCTGTTTTGTATGCCGTCTGGTCCTGATGCTTTTGAATGATTTAGTTGTCTAAGCAGTTTTTCAACGCCTTCATGTTTTATTTCGAGGGATGGGATTAAGTTCTTTATGTATTTTGATGTTTTAGGCAGTGTTTTGTTGTTGTCTCTCGTGAATACTGATTTGAATTGTTGTATCAGTAGTTCTGCCTTCCCTTTACTGTCAATCACTAAATGGCCATTGCTTTTCAACAGTGATACTCCTGTGTTGTCTTGCATGCCTTTTTTCTCGATTTGATATATTTCCAAAAAAGTTTTGGATTGTTGTTTTCCAGTCCTTCCATTATGGTGTTGTTGATGTATTCCCATGCAGCATGTTCAGCCTTTTGGACTTGTCTTTTGCTTTCTTTTTGGTAATTTAGTTTTTTCGGAATCTGTAATTTTGATTGTTCCATGACTTTATTCATTTATATGTGCACAATGATTTGATTTATTTGTATTTTATATGTTTTATATTCAGTATAGAACTCACCAGTACTTATGTTTATATGTTTTATATTCAGTATAGAACTCACCAGTACTTATGTTTATATGTTTTATATTCAGTATAGAACTCACCAGTACTTATGTTTATATGTTTTATATTCAGTATAGAACTCACCAGTACTTATGTTTATATGTTTTATATTCAGTATAGAACTCACCAGTACTTATGTTTATATGTTTTATATTCAGTATAGAACTCACCAGTACTTATGTTTATATGTTTTGTAATACATGTGAATACAATTGTATGCAGAATCAAAATAAAGTTTTCTATGTCTATGTCTTTAGACTTTACACTGATTGACCTCAGGTCAACAAATGTAACTCATTCATTAAAAAAACAACTAGAGTTTGGTGTATGCAATCTTGTTTTCAGCCAAATTTGCAAACAATCACTTTTGATCCATGGCATCAATTGTGATGGAACCACTTGAGTGGTCTTATTTTAGCATGCTTTCAGCTCTGTGGTATCTTGGGTATTGAAATATTGTTTCCACAGCAAGAGTTACAGATGTAACAATACTTTAACAAATTTCTCATTTTTTTGTGTCAATATGAAAGTTGGATGTAATAAACTGTATGAATTAGATGTTTTCTGTATCTGGAAAATGGAAAACATCACCAAAACAGTGGTGATAATGCATGAATTGGATTTATATTTTCAGGGGGATACCCCAAGCAGGTTTACTTTGCTTCACAACACTCACTCATGTCACTAGTGACAATTCTGACCACCTCCCCCTAACTAACACTTAAACAGAAAGAATATAAACAGCTCTGTCATGTCTGTAAATATGTCGAATGACTTATTCTATTGGGTTTTTTTTCTGAACCAAAATTTAAAAAAAGTCAACAATTAACATGATTAATTTGATAATGATGAAAGCTACAAAAATGCCCCAAGCATGGTGTTAAGAGTACTGTTTCTATGTTAACAAAATGTTTTGGTCATCATGATTTAGCCGTCCACATCATTCAGCATTGTTGTTGTTCAGACTTTTTATGAATGACTACCATGACTACTGTACCTTAGGAATAAGCAATCTATGATTTGTGAACTTGTTCCAAAATTCAGTACATGTATGTCATGTTTGTAAAGAGATTAGGCAAAAAAAGAAAAAAACCCTAGGCCTGATAGACAAGAGTAAAATTATAATTTAATGTTTATTTTTACTTTCAGAAACCTGATGTCTTGACAACTGGAACAGGTGTCCCTGTTGGCACCAAAACAGCCACAATGACAGTTGGACCAAGAGGTCCAGTCCTTTTACAAGACTTTGTCTTCACAGATGAAATGGCCCATTTCAACAGAGAAAGAATACCAGAAAGAGTGGTACATGCCAAAGGAGCTGGTACATATACATTATAGTATTATTAGGAATCCATGATTCATGAATGCTGTACTCAAACACAATAAACATTATAAATACTACATGTTCATCTTTCAAATCTGTAATCTGCAATTACTAAAATTTATGCATATTATTACTATACACACCATTACATACAGTAAGGTAAGAGCTTTGACATAATCTAGATTATAAGAATGTAAATCACACATAAACATTCATGTTCATTTGTTTCGCAGGTTTGTTACCAATCTTATAATATTACAATGTAGATTACATTCTGCCATTAATGGTTCAAAGTAAATCTATTAATCATACAGACTACATGCATTTACATCACACTTTACACAATTTATTACAATTACGTAATTGCTGAAAAAGGTAATTTAACTTGTTTAACATGACTATTGTTAAAGTTCCCATTCATATGTCTAATTGATAAAAAAAAAATGTTATTAACATTTTCATGTACATTGTACATCATTTTTGGTTAGAATTAGACACATGACTTTTGTTTTATACTACAGCTCATGTCATTTTCATCTTTCTAAATGTTATTAAGTTATATTTACATGGCTTCTAGATTGGAGACTGAGGATTCATTGAAAAACCAGAAAACATCAAACAGCCATGAAGATACAATTGTTCCTCAATCCATCATGTTGTCCTTGAAAGTTGATACCCCAAAAAATAAATGAATCCACAGTATGCTGTTATTTTTCTTTCATTATAAGAATGAACCGATGAGACATGAAACATAAAGACAGACAAAACTGACCAGATTCATGACCACATGTTCCTAAAACTCCTCAGTGCTCTTCAACTTTGTATTTTATTTGATGAGAACCTTGTTTACAACATATTATGACTGAGAACCCTGTTTACAACATATTATCAGGGGCCTCAGTGGCCGAGTGGTCTAAGTAGTTACTACTGTAATCACTAGCCAGTCAACACTGAGGTTGTGAGTACGAACCCTGCTCGTGCGGGTGCGCTCGACTCCCAATCTTGATTGACTAGGATTGTCAATTTTCCTATCGAAGGTCTGTGGTTTTCTCCGGGCACTCCAGCACTAATAAAAACTGGCCGCCACAAAATAGCCCAAAAGCGGTGCTTAAAAGTGGCGTTAAAACACCAAAATAAAAAAAAAAAAATCAAATCAAAATACAACATAATATGACTTATTTTACAGGAGCATTTGGATACTTTGAGTGCACACATGATATTTCGAAGTACTGTAAGGCAAAGCCATTTGAATTTGTTGGTAAAAAGACACCTTTAGGAGTTAGATTCTCAACAGTTGGTAAGTGTATGTTGTCTGCGTGTTACACTATGTGTTGCTAATTTTATGTTTTTTTTTGATTGGTTAGTTGACACAGTTAAAGATGGCAACTTTTAGTCAATAGAACCCCCTCCCCACTATTAGTTAAAATTGTATAAAAGGTTCTATTGAAGAAATAATTCTTTCATCCCCTTGCTCTATATAAAAAAAAATAAGGAGATGAGGTATGACTGCCAATTGCAATGAGACAACTATCCTCTCAAGTGGATGTAAGAAATTATAGGCAACTGTACGGCCTTCAACAAGGAGAAAAACTCATACTGTATAGTCAGCTATAAAAGCCCCCAACATGAAAAATATAAAACAATTCAAGAAAACTAAAGGCCAAATTTATAACAAAACAATTAACGAAAAACAAATGTGACAGACATGAACCTATATCTATGCTAATTTTTACATGGGTAGGCATTATATTTGTCAACATTTTACACAGGTCTGGCTAATGCTTGGTATTAAGATATTGACAAATAGAATACCTACCCATGTTAAAATGAGTATAGAGCATGGGAATAGGAAAATCCCAGATCTTTAAGACATGTTTTAAAGGCAACAATTTTAAATCCTAAAAGTCCAAGAGAACCAACCATATCAAAATTATAAAATAAACAGATATATATATATATATATATATATATGTAATCTTACTTTTAGAAGGTTTTTATTTAATTTACTAGCGACCAACACCCACACAAACATCTACTTTGATCTCCTGCCATGTTTGTAATACAACTGATGTAATTTTAATTTTGAATCATATCAATCATGTGCACCACATTCTAATTGGAATCAGAACATGGCTTTGTTTGCCAAATGATAGAAGAACTAGATATTAATAAAATAAGATGCATTCATACATGTAATTATTAAATGTCACATTGCTACATTATTTTATACAGAGTTACCTTCCATATTCAGTTAGGATTTCCTCAAGTTATTTGACTGTTTATATATATTTATCAGGTTTATTTTTCCTACTGATTTTATTTTTTTAAATGATTTTGAGAATTGAGAGATAATTTTACATTTGAAATGATATTTTCAGATTTATTTTAAATGAATTTCAGATAATTTTATATTGAGTCAAAATGAAAAATTGAGAACAAGAGTTATCTCCCATCACACACTGTTTTTATTTTTAGGTGGAGAAAGTGGTTCTGCTGACTCTGCCAGGGACCCCAGAGGATTTGCTGTAAAGATGTATACTGAAGATGGTAACTGGGATCTGGTGGGGAACAATACTCCAATCTTCTTCATTAGAGATCCTATGCTGGTATACAATTTTCATTTTAGCCTAAATTATCCATGATTCATGGGCAAATGGTCTATAAATTTTAGAATATGTTGAAAGTATAACTTCTGTAAAAATACAGCAAATTTCTTTATTTATAAAGTAAGGTGATGAGAGGCCATTTCAAATGAGACTATTGGAAGAACAAAGAATTGGAATATAAACAACTACTGGCATGGTCAGTGTATGACATTGACCTTCAATGATTTTAATGGAACAGTCCAACAATTAAAATGAATATAATTGAGACTGTGAAATTGTTAAAACAAGTTGGTAAATTGATTTACAGATCTATTTTGATAAATTTGTTTGAATATATTCTAGTAGTTCAATTATGGCAATTTGTATTATGGAATTTTTTTAGGAAATTGTAATTTTGCAAAAAAATATCTGGTTTCTGAATACTTGTAGTTTTTTGGGACGAGATTGAACTTTAATAACAAAGTACTAACAACAAACTAATTTTTGTTGAAGTATTTATCTCTATACTTGTCTCTATTAATGCAAAGTTGAGATACAAATTAATTCAAAATTTGGGAATATTTTTCATCTCTTTATTTCAATTTTAAACTTATAAATTTTAGAATCCAATCATTCTATATTGAAAGTAGAAGGTTTACATTGCTTAAATGTTTGAATATGTTTATGAAGATCTTACAATAGACCATTGCTTTTTGAAATTTGATTATAATTAATAATTTAATATTATGAATACATTTATATGATTTTCAGGTATATTGAGGTTGTGAGGTCTAAAATTTTGTTTATGCTATACTGAATTTAAATCATATTGATGACTTATGATTTGGTAAGAAGTACAAACAAATTGCTTAAACAAATATCCACTCCTTTACACATGCATTAGTATAACCATTTATCAAATAAATGTTTTAGATTTCGCTGTACAGTAGGCAAGGCATATCTCTGTGTCAACAATGTTACATAGACAATAATGTCAAAATCAGTCATAATTTCTGGCAATTTCAATTTCTTTCTGAACCAATCTTTGCCCTTTTCCATATTTACAATTTTGTTGATTTATTGCTTACATTATATTTTAAATTTTCAGTTTCCAAGCTTCATACATACACAGAAGAGAAACCCAGAAACTCACCTAAAGGTAAAGCATATATTTTATTCACCAGATCTTAATGAATCATTATTATTAATCAATGTATTTTTTATAAGAAATGAAATTGAAAAAACAACATATGAGATAGATTTTCAGGAAACAGAACAACTCTCTGAGGATTATAAAAAAATCTAATACCCTTTTTATAGTGATTTTTGATGGAACAGCATGACATATTTTGAGGCGTAATTTCCACAATTTACCTATCAGAATAACCACAGATAAACTTTCTGAATATTTATGAATTTAATTACAGTATCAGGATTGATAGCAATTTGATTATAATATGAATATGCTAATACATTTGAAAACTTGCTGTTGTCGGTCTTAGATTTTACAGTCGAAAATATCAATTGATATTAAATATAATTAACAATGATAAAAATGTCTGGTACTGTCTGATTACTTATGCTAGTTGTAAGATATATAAACATTGGTATTGAGACTCAATATTGATTAAATGTGTTCAAATTAAAAAAAAATCATAAAGAATTATACAACCTGATTGATCAGTAAAATAATTTTATTATGTGTTGTTTTATATTTTTTATCCCCTTAAAAACTCAACAGATTTGATATTCAATTTTCCAATGTTGCTATTTCCATATGTTCAATGATTTTATACAAATGAACAATGATATATTTCCAATTTTATCACAATTTTCTTGTCAATAGTACTTATATTAACCTTACAATCTATTAAGAATTGTTGGACTAAAGTACAAATCCATAGATACTGTGGATTTATTTATTTTTATGGGTACCAATTTTCATTGATTTAGGAAAATTTGTATGTTTGTATATTTGTATATTTGTATATTTGATTTCAAGGTTTAACAAAACTCTGCACACAAACCTTAAGAAAATTTGTACTTCATTGAACATTAAAATTTGTGGTCCACATTTTCCAATGAAATCAATAGAAATTGGTACCTCACAAAAAACTATGAATCCACAGTACCATACTTCCTGTATTTTCAAGCACTTTACTGGATAGACTTTCATTAGGAATTATTGAAACAAACACGGCTAGATAAATGATTGACATGGGTCAGAAGGAAGTAAATTAAAAAAAACATTAATTATTTCATGATTTTTTTTAATTTTATATCTTTTTTAAAGGATCCAGACATGTTCTGGGATTTCATTACACTTCGACCAGAGACAACCCACCAGGTGTCCTTCCTGTTCTCTGACCGTGGAACCCCTGATGGCTTCAGACGTATGAATGGTTATGGAAGTCACACATTTAAGACAGTTAATAAGGATGGACAGGCATACTACTGTAAATTCCACTTCAAGGTAAAGTTAATTCCACTTCAAGGTAAAGTTAATTCCACTTCAAGGTACAGTTAATTCCACTTCAAAGTACAGTTAATTCCACTTCAAGGTAAAGTTAATTCCACTTCAAGGTACAGTTAATTCCACTTCAAGGTAAAGTTAATTCCATGATTATTGATTCATACTATGATAAATTTTACATGACTTTCGGACAGTATTTGTAAGAGTCAGATGCTATAGTCAGTAGACCTGCCAATTTTCCTGATTTCTTTTCCCCATGAGAGGTGTTGACCTGACTCTTGTTATACTCAATTATTTAAATTAGAACATTTAGAAATAAAGTAATGCATTCAATAAACAGATTGAAAATATGTTTAATTGAACTACTTTTTGTGGAGCCTGTGACATAGCAATCCTAGATTCCGTCAGTGGTGTCAATATTTAGGTTCAGTCTGTGGATAAAGTTTTTTTAAGACATCAATAACTTTGTCCAATCTTCATGGAATTTTATGAAATTTGGACAGGTGCTAATCTTCAAGACCAAGAAATAACATTTAAAAAAGTTTGATTTTTTTTTTTAAATTCTGTGTTTTACTGATAAATGGACTCACCTTTTAGGTCAACATTACACTTTAACACTGACAGTAGCAATTGCAGGTGAGAAACAGAGTTCCTTGGAACCCCTTACAAATGTTTTACTATAATCATCATGATCATGGAAATGTTTTTTTTTTCATTTCAGACTGATCAAGGCATCAAATGTCTGAGTGCTGAGCAAGCAGACAAGCTGTCTTCAACTGATCCTGATTATGCCATCCGTGATTTATACAATGCCATCTCGGAAGGGAATTTCCCTTCATGGTCACTGAACGTCCAGATAATGACATTTGAAGAGGCAGAAAATTTCAGATATAATCCTTTTGATCTTACCAAGGTAATTCAGAAATGCAGAAATGCAGAAATATTCAGATAAGCTTTTGATCTAACATTTGTACAAGTTGACACAATTTAAGCAAAAGTTACTTCCCTTTTGTCACCATGTTGGAGGTCTATGTGCACAAATTCCATCATGCATATATATATACCTCAAAGAAACGGCAGCCATGGGAAGTAACTCAAACGGCATCATTTGAAACCAATCTATACATCCATTTGATTTTTTAAAGTGCCAATCGGCCTAAGAATCAGGCAGTGGTGAAAACATGACAAACAAAAACCCACTCAAATTGATATTAATTTATGATCAAATTGCATTATGGTGCACAAATATAACATTTGTTTCCTTTACCTGTTTTGGTAACTCAAAATATGATTTGGTTTAAATGCACTAGAAAATGACAATTAAGGGGAGATAACTTTGTAATTTAACCAAAAGTTATTTTGAGTTTTCTCAAATTTAATACCAGACATGCAGAAACGAAAGACCTACTATCTCTAACTCTTGATGAGTGTAACTTCAAAAAAGAATGGTTTGGTTGGTGGGTTTTTTTGGCCATGTTTTGAATTTTTCTAAATTGCCTGATTCTTACAACGACTGGCACTTACTTAATATACAAAAATAAATGATAATCCTTTTAATTTTACTAAGATAAACTTTACTTTAGAAATCATTGACTATTAAATGTCTTTTTGCATTTTATGTAATTCCTAAGTCAGCTGACCTAAGGGGTCACATAATATTACATTTTTCATGGAAGTTTACTGAAATTCGTGTCATAGGTTTAAATGAGCTATAGTTCGGAGGATTGCAAAATACGGCTGAATTAATATTTTTTTGGTGATAGAATAAATAGTAAAACAACATAACAAACACTCTCACATCTATTTCTCAAGGGGGTTGGGTGAAATTTTTGTCAAAGGTTTACATGAGCAATATTTCTGTCAGATTTGAAAATTGGCGCTGATCATAAAAATTTAGGGGAATGATGCGTCTTAGAAATGTAAATAGTATAAAAATTCAACCTTGTTGATACTCTTGTTCCTGTATAATTCCCATTGGAGTTAAATCAAATATATGTCAATGATTTACATCAGCAATATTTAGGATGAGATGGAATGTCAGCATGATTCAACTTGAAAATCTGGCTTGATTAAGTACTTTCAAGGAAGTTATGTCAGTTTGAAATATAAATGATATGGAAAATTCCAATGTATTGGTTGGGGACATTAGCTTCTCTGTAGAAATCTTGTCCTATCAGTATAAAAACCAGTTTTGTTTAGTTCAGTTACATGAAATTATTTACTGAAGTTACTCATGTGGGGATGCAACATCATTCCTTTTAAAGCAGACTTCTCTTGTTCATAAAATCATTAACTAAAATTGATAAAGATGATAAAGCAATATATAACTTAAAGGTTGAAAAAGGTTTTAAATTTTCTTCAAACTTCAAATTTCAAATTTGAACTTTATGCTTCCTAATGATTAATTGTGGCTGTTGATCTTTACAGCATCTATATATAACCCTGATCTTATTTGAATTATAATTATTAATGTTAACAGATTTGGCCTCAAGGAGAATTTCCATTGATCCCAGTTGGTAGAATGGTTTTGAACAGGAATCCAAAGAATTACTTTGCTGAAGTAGAACAGATAGCCTTCTCTCCAGTTCATATGATTCCAGGAATAGAAGCCAGTCCAGATAAAATGTTACAGGTAATTACCTCAGGTAGCTCACCTGTGTAACTTCTCTAGTTCATATGATTCCAGGAATAGAAGCCATTCCAGATAAAATGTTATAGGTAATTACCTCAGGTAGATCACCTGTGTAACATTTTTTAAAGAATTACCTCGGGTAGATCACCTGTGCAACATTTTTTAAAGAACAGATAGCTCTCTTTCTGATTTATATGATTCCAGGGAAAGAACAGATGCTGATCCAGGAATTTGAAAAAGGGAGGGGGGGGACTTACACTAGACAAAGTTTGGAGTGGAACAGGTAATAAGTCTGCATTTACCATAAATGTACCTCCATAAGGGGGCCCGGGCACCCCTAAATCCACCTCTGCAGAAGCCAGTCCAGATAAATTGTTACAGGTAATTACTTCAGATAGATCACCTGTGTAACTTCTCTAGTTCATATAATTCCAGGAATAGAAGCCATTCCAGATAAAATGTTACAGGTAATTACCTCAGGTAGATCACCTGTGTAACATTTTTTAAAGAGCAGATAGCTTTCTTTCTGGTTTATATGATTCCAGGGATAGAACAGATGCCGATCCAGGAATTTGAAAAGGGGGGGGGGGGGGGTGGGGACTTACACTAGACAAAGTTTTGAGTGGAACAGGTAATAAGTCTGCATTTACCATAAATGTACCTCCATAAGGGGGCCCAGGCACCCCTAAATCCACCTCTGCAGAAGCCAGTCCAGATAAATTGTTACAGGTAATTACTTCAGATAGATCACCTGCGTAACTTCTCTAGTTCAGATAATTCCAGGACTGGAAGCCATTCCAGATGAAATGTTACAGATAATTACCTCAGGTAGCTCAGTCTTGTAATAAATAAAACAAACAAGATAAACCCTTGGGTAACTGACTTCTGTGCAATAAACAATATAATACCTCAGGAAACTAAACTATTTTCTTTATACTTTATTTTTTGGTGAAGAATTGTTTTATGATTTGTAGAGCTGTTAGAACACATACTTTGAAACATGGTCTCATTGTTTATATGCAGCATGCTTGAAATATTATTTATTAATCTGACATTTCTATCTGTTGATCAGCAGGCAAAATAATAATTGAATACAACTATTCTGCATTAAATTAGGAGAAATACCCAAGATTATTGTCCTTACAGTTCCTATTAATTAAGACGTAATATTTGAGGTAATGCCTGTGGTAACTCAAGATAAACAGCTGGATACATTTAAAACAGGTTCATAGATCACCGGTAATTACCTCTGATAGCTTACAATTGATACAAATTTTGCTTCATCTTAGTTTACAGACTGTAACTTCATCTGTTGTTTTTGTTTTCAGGGAAGGTTGTTCTCCTACTCTGACACACACAGACACAGACTTGGTAGTAATTACCTCCAGATACCAGTCAATTGTCCATTTAATGCAAGAGTCAAAAACTACCAGAGAGATGGTCCACAGTGTGTTGATGAAAACCAAGGTAACAACCTCTGACCTACCATTTTGCCTGAAACAAACTTGTTTTAATTGGTCAGTTAATGACTAGTTATTCTCACATTGGTCACTAAACTTTAGTTTTTAAAGCCATTTCACTACCCCTTTAAGTAACACTTATTCAGGTCCTCAAATACCAGTGGAATGTTAGTTGAATGCGGCAGAGTTAGAAATAATTTAAGTTGACCATTGTTGACCAACTAATTCACTAGCTCAGGAGTAGAAAAATAAGTTAAATGGCCCTAACTATGTCAAAATTTGGATCACTTGCATAAATACATTTACAAAGTCAGAAAATCATGAGAATTATCAGTTTGAAAGGGCTAAATAAGCATTGTAGTATAGAAGTCATTACTCATGCTTTTCAGGCCATGTTTTTTATATTTTGCTAAAACAGATGATATTTCCCAATGTGATATCTGTGACCACCTGATGCTTCTCAAATATTTGTGATGTATTTATGGTGCTAATTTACATAAAATAATTTTCATCAGTTTTATGGGGAGAGGTGCTCGTGCTATTGTATAATTAGGGCTATTCCATTAAAATGTATGTGGGAGGGTAGGAAGGGACTTTCAAAATATCCCTACAACCAAGAACCATTTTTTAGATAATTTTGCATAATGGTAATAGACGCTTACTGAAAAAAGACCCATGACCCACATTCAATAATTAAACTTCCCTTCATACCCTCCCACATACATTTTAATGGAATAGCCCTTAGATATGATCTTATAAATTTTGAATTATTTATCTCCATAGCTGGAGCACCAAACTACTTCCCCAACAGTTTTACTGGACCACAGGACAATCGTCAGTACTTAGAGTCTAACTTCAGCATTAGTGGTGATGTCAAGCGTTACAATACAGCTGATGATGACAACTATTCACAAGTTGGTGTATTCTGGAGAAAGGTAGGTATCCATGGTGATGTTTTTATTGGACCTATGGATTTGACTGTTCATTGTCCCCTCCTTCTTTTTTAGCTCACCTGGCCCAAAGGGCCAAGTGAGCTTTTCTCATCACTTGACGTCCGTTGTTTGTCGTCCGTCGTCCGTAAACTTTTACAAAAATCTTCTCCTCTGAAACTACTGGGCCAAATTTAACCAAACTTGGCCAATATCATCATTAGGGTATCTAGTTTGAAAAATGTGTCCGGTGACCCGGCCAACTAACCAAGATGGCCGCCATGGCTAAAAATAGAACATAGGGATAAAATGTAGATTTTGGCTTATATCTCTGAAACCAAAGCATTGAGAGCAAATCTGACAAAGGGTAAAAATGTTTATTAGCTCAAGATCTATCTGCCCTGAAATTTTCAGATGAATCGGACAACCCGTTGTTAGGTTGCTGCCCCTGAATTAATAATTTTATGGAAATTTTGCCTTATTTGGTTATTATCTTGAATATTATTATAGATAGAGATAAACTGTAAACAGCAATAATGTTCAGCAAAGTAAGTTCTACAAATAAGTCAACATGACCAAAATGGTCAGTTGACCCCTTAAGGAGTTATTGCTCTTTTATAGTCAATTTTTAACAATTTTTCGTAAATTTTTGTTATCTTTTACAATCTTCTCCTCTGAAACTACTAAGATGAATTTAACTAAAGTTGTAAACAATCATCATTAGGGTATGTAGTTTAAAAATTGTGTTTGATGACCCCGCCCTCAAACCAAGATGGCCGACATGGCTAATAATAGTACATAGGGTAAAATGCAGTTTTTGGCTCATATATCTAAATCCAAAGCATTTCTAGCAAATCTTTCAAAAACAAAATTGTTCATTAGGTCAAGATCTATCTGCCCTTAAATTTTCAGACCATTCAGGCAACCTGTTGTTGGGTTGCTGCCCCTGAATTGGTAATTTTTAGAAATTTTTTCAGCTTTTGGTTATTATCTTGAATATTATTATAGATAGAGATAAACTGTAACGAGCAATAATGTACAGCAAAGTAAGACCTACAAATAAGTCACATGACCAAAATGGTCAATTGACCCCTTTAGGAGTTATTGCCCTTTATAATAAATTTTTAACAATTTTCATAAATTTTGTAAATTTTTACAAAATAATTTCCACTGAAACTACAGGGCCAAGTTCATTATAGATAGAGATAATTGTAAGCATCAAGAATGTTCAGTAAAGTAAGATCTACAAACACATCACCATCACCAAAACACAATTTTGTCATGAATCCACCTGTGTCCTTTGTTTAATATGCACATAGACCAAGGTGAGCGACACAGGCTCTTTAGAGCCTCTAGTTTTAGTGAATTAAAGATCACAAGAATTTTCTTCAATCAGGCTTTCATTGAATGAAATGCTAAAGCACTAAAGTTGAATTAGAATAATTTTTGTCTCATGTTCTGTAGCAAATATATCATATAAAACTTAGGAGACATTGTATAATTCCCTACAGCTATTCATAGACAAAAAATCCAAGTTGTGAACAAATACAAGTGACCTTACATCCTTTAACAATTAATAAACCCATACCATATAGTAAGCTGTTAAAGGCCCTGATATGATAAAGTGTGAAAATTTAAATAGAGAAAATGATATGCTTGAACAATGAACCAAAAACAAGTATGACAGACAACAACCACCGGATTAAAGGTTCCTGGTTTGGCATCATTCTATTCTATGTACACAAATACTTTGAAATAAATAGGTCAAAACAACAATTCCTGTGAATGCACTCATACTATTGTTGACAAAATGGTAGTAATTTTGCAATAATACCAATTAATATTTGAGAAGGCAGAACCAGCTAGTATTACCATAAACAATGATGTTGTCTTAAAAATATATTGTCCTTTTTGTGTTTTGATAGACATCATCTGTTTTTATTTAATTTTATTTTATATATGTTCATTTATCAATAAACCTCATGGATGTTTTCATTTTGCAAATAATAAGGAATGACTTGTATTGTGATAACAAACATTATAATACAACCTAAAGTGATTGGGAGTTACAGTAGACTCCACCTAATCAGATATCGGCTAAACGAATATATCGGCCATGTAATATTTTTGTTGAGCCTGCGACTTTTGTCGCAAAAGCGAGACATAGCGATCCTACATTCTGTCGGCGTCGTTATCGGCGGCGTCAACAAATATTCACTCTGTGGTTAAAGTTTTCAAATTTTAATAACTTTCTTAAACTATCCTGGATTTCTACCAAACTTGGACAGAAGCTTGTTTATGATCATAAGATAGTATCCAGAAGTAAATTTTGTAAAAAAAATCCTATTTTTCCGTATTTTACTCATAAATGGACTTAGTTTTTCTGCCAGTTAACATAAAATTCACTCTGTGGTTAAAGTTTTTCAAATTTTAATAATTTTCTTAAACTATCCTGGATTTGTACCTTACTTGGACAGAAGCTTGTTTGTGAATATAAGATAGTATTCAAAAGTAAATTTTGTAAAAAAAAAATCTTGTTTATCCATATATTACTTATAAATGGACTTAGTTTTTCTTCCAGTTAACATTACATACAGTCTGCAGTTAAAGTCTTTAAAACATTTATTAGATTCATAAACCAATTCAAAAGATAGTATCAAGAGGAAAATTTTTAATAATTATTTCCCCATTTTTGTGGAGCCTGCGACTAACAGCAAAAGTAGGCGAGACACTGGGTTCAGCGGAACCCTTACAATTTTTTTCAAAACACCAAACCCTTCCCTATATGTTTAATGTTAAATTTATCGAGTAATCGAATATCAGATATAAGAATATATCGGCAAATAGGATAAGAATATTCAGGAAATTTTGATTAAATTAGATGCCCTCTAAATTCAAATAGTTTGAATTTATTTATAAAATATACAAGAGCAGTACATTGGGAGAATTTTGATTAAACTCTAAATCCTCACAGAATCAGAAATATAATTTAAACTGAATGTACCTCCTTCTGAAAAATTTATTGCAATATACATATAAATCCCTTTTGACAAGAGAAATCTGACTTTTGTCAGATATAATTTTGTAACATTTGCATGACCTCATGTCATGGACGCCATTTTGTTTTGTTTACAAAATATGAAGAAGCCTCGAGAACCATGACCTAAACATAAACAGTCTTCAGAAAACTTAAACTTGATGCAATGATATTTTATCAATCATGATTATATATCTTCATAAATTTAAATTCGATTATTTAAAGAAATAAAATATATGATTTTAAGAGACTGCAGTGTACACAGACCATGCTTTGATCTATTTATAGCCCAATTAGCTTACCTGTGCTAAATGTAAATAATGGATATTAATTCGTTTACAAAACAAATAAAGACACAAACTATGGATGGTAGATACATATAGTTATTCACATAAATATTTCAGGACATTTTATTTATTTTAATAAATATGGGATTTAAAAACTGAAAACAAATATAAGCATTACATAACCAGCTTATAATTTTTTACACAAACATCGTGGTGATGTAACTGATAAAAATCACTCCAGCACTTTCTTATAAATAGCAGTGGTCAGGGTTAGTAACATCTCAGGATTAGGTCTACTCATTATTGCAGAATATTCAATGAATATACATTTATAGTCTAATTGAATATATCGGATAATGGGATATTTTTTGCTGACATTTTTGGTATCTGATTTGCCGGAGTCTACTGCATATTCTATAAGAATTTAGATTTTCCTTCGTAATGATGAATATTTTAATATGGCAAAGTGTAACAGCGATTTGATTTCTGGTGTCTATAAAACATTGATTTTCCTTGGGTGTTGAACATTATAAAATGGCTGACAGTGGTTATTTTCTTAATCAAGGAAGCTACTTTAATACAAGCTTGTGTCTTCTGTATCATCATCCTGAATATACACATAGTATTTGCTGCTGGAATGTATGCACACAATAGTTACTGCTGGACTTGAGGCACAAATTATTTACTGCTGAATTTAATGCACAGAATATTTGCTGCTGAACTTAAAGCAGCCATTATTCAATATTGTGAAATAAGGTTGCCATAAACAAGATTGTGTTTGGTAAAGTGATGTGGTCTTTTTATTTATTTTTAAGGTACTGAATCCAGCAGAAAGACAAAGATTGGCAGAAAATATTGCTGGCCATGTTTGTAATGCATCAGAATTTCTACAGAAACGAGTAATCAATAACTTTGGACAGGCTGATCCAGAATACGGACAAATGATTAAACAATTATTGGATAAAATAAATGCTAAAAAGAGGGCAACACAGGTTAGTGAACTAGGAAGGGACAGTTTGACATAATTTTATGAAAATTAATGTAAAATGAAGGGACATTCTGACTTTTTTATGCCCATGCTGTAGGTGATGGGGGCATTAAGTGTTAACTTGACCGTCCATCCTTCTGTGTTTTGGTTGTTTGTCCCATTTTCATTTGTTTGAAGCTTGAGCGGGGGTATTCAGGTCCTCAAACACATTCTTCTTTTATTTTATATTAAAGTGAATGTATACAAGAGGATAAACCAGTAGGCAGTTAATTTATTTATAGAAAGAGATTTATACATTCTGGGTAATATTTTCAATAGTGTACATGAACACATTTTGACTGGTTTACAACCAATTCACATACTTTCTGTTTTCATATACTTGAATTAAGAGTGAGGGTATTCTTAGCACTACAATGTTGTTAATGAATAAAACATTTTTCTACCAATATTTCAGCATTTGACTGAATTTCACACCTTAATAGTTTTTATTATATTATTTATATGCATTTATTGTTATTTTTAGGCTGGAGTTCCTGCCAATTTATAGATTTTATAAAAGACTGGTGAAAAAGCATTAATGAACTATGTTGTGATGGATCAATACAATCGTAATTGTAGATATTAAATTATCATGCTGGGAAAAATCCTGTAAGCTATTTTTTCTAGGGATACTTAAATTATGCCTTTTAAAGTTCTAAGATATTACTTGTTCTTGTGCAAAAAGAAAATCAAAATTGACAAAATTGACAAACTGAAAATAGATTTATACTGTATTTATAAGAAATATAGATATCAGCTGACTGGTATGTCGATCAATGTAATTATTTGTTGATCAATACAATTGTTTCATTTATAAAGCTGCTTTGAATCAGTATTAATTGTATGAAAAGGATTGGCAGATTTTGTAAAAAATATTGTATGTATTAATGAAAGTTGTTTTTGAAATCCCTGTTTGTATCATAATGATTGAGAATTTTTTGTGAATTTCTTAATCTTAGTTTCCATTGTAGCCTGTCAGTAAAATGATTTTTTTTTAATATGAAGTTTTCCTTTTATTATACCCACAGAAGTTAGGCTTAAGAAATTTTATATGAATTTAATTAATATTACTTTTAACTTGGTTTTTCAGTTATATTTATTTTTTTTATTTAAATTAAATATTTTTCTTAAGTGCTTAATAAAAAAATCAAACATTATTTATAAAATTCTGTCAGATGTGACAAAATATTTTTCTTGAATTAAGAGTGAAAAAAAGAAGAATTTCTTATAGAAGCTCTAGTTTGGAAAAATTCATTTAAAATGAATGAAAATTGGCTTGATATTAAGAAAAACCATGTTGGTTATGCAATTTGCCATATATGAATTATTTAAATTCATTAAATATCAATACAATAGTTGTTTTCAAATTAATTTTAAACAGCAGAAATTTTTTTATATTTCTTTAATTGCCTACAGTAAATTCACTTTATATTTTTTAAGTTTTTAATTAAAATTAATTTTGTGAGTGTGATGTAATTGTTAAATGTGATAATAATTTATGCATACTTGTTAATGAGGTTAGTTATTGTATCATTCATAAATGTACATGGAGATGTAATAAACAGAAATAATATTTCATGTTTTAGTATATCAGAATGGAAAATATCAGCATCCCAGATTTTCTCCCATCAAACAATAAAAACCTTTGGCTGTGTTGGATGTATAAATAATCCGCCACATACGGTCATAAAAAATGTAAACAACATGTTGTAAACTTCATGTGTCCGAAGCGCTTTTCGTAAAGGGGACATAAAAATTGATGCCTCATGTAGGGAGAGTGGCATTCTTTCTGCACATTTAAGAACCCTTGCAACTTCACTTCAAGGTGGTGGTAGGTGGCCTGTTGGAAGACAAAATTTCTGACCATATCCAACATACCATCATTCTACCCTAGCAGTCAGAATTTCCAGCTCTACATGCATGACCTGCTTGTAAACCTACCATTCAGAAACGTCCTTTTTGTTTTGTTTTGTTCTGGTGGGAAATTGCATACAATATTTGCCACTGGGTGTATAACAAGAAATTGTCAATAAATTAGATCTCTTTCATTGCTACAAATAATTTAAAAAATGAAAATAACATGTAATAAATTATGTGTCTGATAGTCTGAAGTACTTTTTCTGGGTTTGCTTATAATAACGATGGATGTAGAAACATCCTCTCAGTATATTTACTGACCTTTTGAATGAAAGGAGATGTGAGATACATGACAATGAGACAACAATCTACCAAAACAAACATGAACACATACTGTAAAGTGGGAAATTATTGCATGATTTATATTAAAGCAATAATGCCACTGAGTGAATATCGCAATAATGAAAACCTCGCATTCTGATACATATAACTGTATGAATATTTTCCTGAAATCACAATAAATAATCTCACATTTTTGTTCTTTCTTTAATATTTATTTTAAAAAGATGAAAATTTAAGGAAGAAATCTGGAACCATTATCAGAGACTTGACCATGGCAAAAAGCCATAACAATAGACAATGACTATCATCAGAACAATACACAGAAAACTAAGAAAAACAAACATCACCACAAACAAAATAAGATTAATTTTGCAATTGTTAAAATCTTTTCTTTTCATATGGAATTCATATAACTTTTGTCCGAAAATCACTATAAATAATTCATATCAAATTCACATGAAAAATCAGTCCGAGACTACTCTGACGTCCAACGGCTGTTTTGCTAGACAAGCTGGGGCCGTGGGACTTGTCTGGCAAAACAGCCGTTGGGCGTCAGAGTAATCTCGGACTAATGAAAAATAGGCCACAAAGCTTTTCACTGTATTTATTAACAAAATCAACACAATCAATGTAAGCAAGACACATTTATTTATGACACGAATAATCATTGGTATTGTAACTGCCACATTTGTAAATTAACTGTTTTCATAACTGAACTGTTCAATATACTAAAGATTTTCTACCCCAGGAATATATTACCTCAGCTGTATTTGGCAAAACCCTTTGGAATTTTGGCCCTTGACGCTCTTAAACTTTGTCCTTTATTTGGCCTTTAAACTGTTTTGATTCGAGCGTCACTGATGATTCTTTTGTAGATGAAACGTGCATCTGGCATACACAATTATGAGCCTTGCATCTTTGATGACTTTTTTACAGTCAGATGTGAATTTTATTAGTGCGTAGTAGTGAAAGAGTGGCGTAAGATACCAAAGAGGTATTCAAACTAATGAGTCAAAAACAAACTGACAATGCCATGACAAAGTAAGTGAACAAAAGTTAAACTAATTCAACAGTAAGATTAAACCTTCTGGTTGTTCATCTTCCTCCAATAAAGTTTTGTTCAGTTAATATCGAAGTTAAAACAATTAATAAGCATAAAATCCATTTGCTTATTTATTGGTCATGAATAATTCAAATCACAAGAGAATTTATCAGTGAATTCACATAAATAAATTACTTAGGTGTAAAGCAGGCAAAATGGAAGTTGTTTAGATTTTATATTAAGGTCTGGTAATAGATGTAAAATAAATGCAGATAATATTTAAAAATTGTTCTGGTTGAATTGGCCTTCGTTTTTAATGATTACGACTTTGACTTGCATTGAAATAACAATTTTTTGTCCTTATCAACCTTCGTTGCAGGTTTTGCTGTATTTGGGCAAATAATTGTGCTATGATAAGTTATATATGACATATGACGTTCTCTATGATTGACATACTTTGTGCCTCAATATTTCTATTTTCTCTAATTCTTCGTCAATTTATCCCTTTCTGCACCCATTGTATAAAAAAAATTTAATCAACGTGTGGTTCGTTTGATCTCAGTTCTTCATTGGTTAAAATCCGATTATGACGTCAAATTTTCTTGCTTTCCTCTGAATTTCCTATTGTGACGGCATGAAAAAAGGCGACCATGCCTGATGACGTCTCATAGAAAGAACACATCTTTTTGCAGATCATTCGAAAAGAAGGAATACATTTGCCTGCGTATTGTTTGAAAATCATTAGAGAAACAGATTCCACCACCAAATCTTGTGTAATACGATATTTATCCACTCTCGACAGTTAAATTTTAAATATTTAAAACGCTCGGCGAGCCTCGCGTTTTAAATTTGAAAATTTAACTGTCTCGAGTGGATAAATATCGTATCACACTCGATGCAGTGGTAGAATCTATATATATCTGTGTTCTAATTGTCTGTATCACTCTGCTCAGCTCTTATAAAATTGCATATCACGGCTTTGTGACGTCAAATACGTTAACCAGACCTAAATAACTTTGACCCGGACATATCACCTACGTCATAATGAATGAACCGACGTTGATAAGTTTGACCTGAACTCTGGTTTGCTGGTGAAACAAAACAAACACTTTCTTTCATGCAAAATAGTGAAAATACACAAATTCAATCCGATAAATCGCTTATCAGATTTTCATCATATTTATATTTGTAAAATATCAGCTCCTCGACACAATATGAAGCCATCTTGAACTCGTTCGCTGCGCTCACTCGACAAAAATGATTCATATTGTGACTCGCAGCTGATATTTTACAATATTAATTTATAGACAACCTGATAATCAGTACATACATAACAAACTTAAAAAAATAATAAAATAACAGAGGACATAGAAAATGCAATTTATATTAATAGTATTTTATTCCATTTTCACAGTCTTCCATGCAAATTTTGAGCTTTTATTAAGTCTCCCAAACGAAGTTTGGGAAGACTTATTGTTTTTGCTCAGTTCTTATTATTATTATGTCACCCGATCGACAATGTCTGGTGACATATTGCTTTTCCTCCGTTTCTTTTTATTATTATTTTTCTTCCACCTATTTTGTCCGAAGCGTTTCTGGGAGTTTAGTAGACCAATCCTATTGAATGGTTAACATAATGAGGTCCACCATCTAAAGTTGTGCAGGACATCTTCGGAATTTTTAAAATGGCCACCGTTACCATGGAAACAGCACAAATGCGAAAAATAGGAAAGTGTTCCAAACTTAATGAAACTTTACAGAAATGTTAGTTGGCAGATGTAAATGTGGCATTTGACTTTTGAATTTCAAAAATGGCCACCGTTGCCATGGAAACCCGAGACAAAGTTTTAACATTGGACCCTATGGGAAAATTCTTTAAGTAGCATTTACTCACTTAACATGGTAGGTCAAATACCGTGATTCTTTCATGGAATGTTCCCTGTCATGTGCCAATATGGCATCCATCTTTGAAATTTTGGAAACGATCACTGTTGCCATGGAAACGGCACAAATTCAAAAATGTCTAAAAATTTCCAAATGCTCCAAATTTACTGAAACTTAATATTAATATTAACTGGCAAGTAAAGATGAGACTTTTAACATTGGAATTTCCAAAATGGCTCCTGTTGCCATGGAAACAGAAAAAATGTCAAAAATTTCTAAATGCTCTAAATGTTCTGAAAATTGATAGAAAGAAGTATAGCAATATATTTATGTGCATTCACTGTTTAAAATGTTTCGAAATGGCTGCTGCTTAGTGGTAATGGGGGGGGGCAGGGTGACATCCGCTATTGCTTGCAATGGCAAATCTAGTTATTATTCTTCTTCCTCTTCCTTTTCCGCCACTTTTAAATTTGAACTTGTCCGCACCCATTCTCCAAAACCGCTTCTCAGATTAACTTAGGGTTTCACAATATGTTAGACCAACATGTCTAGTGGTGCAATCAGGGTTTTGTTTGTGCAATAGGGATATAAAGTTGTACTTTGAGGGGCAAAAAGAAAGGAGGGTTTTACTATAGAACATTATGGGATTTTATTTTTTAAAATTTTCAAATGATTATAAAATGAAAACCGTTTGTGATAGACACAATCTTTTTAATTGAAAATGTTCTAAATGATAAAGCACATTAAATGAAATACAGGGTTAGTCCCCAGGGGTCACCCCCACCCCCTGCCATTTAAGAAAGTTCTAATACCTTGTAAGAGGTCAAGATCCCCACCCCTAAACCATATATATTCTGGTTTGTCATGCTAAGAAGGTTTGAATGATATACAGGGTTAGTCCCCAGGGGTCATCCCGACCCCCTGCCATTTGAGAAAGTTCTAATATCTTGTAAATGGTCGAGATCCCCACCCCTAAACCATATATATTCTTGTTTGTCATTATAAAGCAAATCAAATGAAATACAGGGTTAGTCCCCAGGGGTCACCCCTACCCCCTGCCATTTAAGAAAGTTCTTATATCTTGTAAGTGGTCAAGATCCCCACCCCTAAACCATATATATTCTGGTTTGTCATGCAAAGATGATTTGAATGATATACAGGGTTAGTCCCCAGGGGTCATCCCCACCCCCTGCCATTTAAGAAAGTTCTAATATCTTGTAAGTGGTCAAGATCCCCACCCCTAAACCATATATATTCTGGTTTGTCATGCTAAGATGGTTTGAATGATATACAGGGTTAGTCCCCAGGGGTCATCCCCCACCCCCTGCCATTTGAGAAAGTTCTAATATCTTGTAAATGGTCGATATCCCCTCCCCTAAACCATATATATTCCTGTTCGTCATGTCTCGAACATTTGAATGACGTATAAGATCAGTCCCCAGGGGTTCCCCCCCCCCCCCCCCCACCCCCAATGTTCTAGTATCTTGTAAGTGGCAAGATGATTTGAATGATATACAGGGTTAGTCCCCAGGCATCACTAATGCATATAACTTTACCAAACCAATTTTCACTGGACTTTGCCCAATGTCAGACGACCCTGGGAATTACGAATTATGGGAGCTTCGTTTGGGAGACTTCGTAACAGCATCCTGTTACAATCATTTCTTGTTTTATTTCTTATTTGTTCTTGTTGACCTACATTTGACCGTATTGCGGGTTTATAAATACAACATGTCAGTAATGTCATTAAAAGCAACTATGTTGATTGAACATAAAGTGAATGAAAATAACAATGTTCTCTTCTTAAGGATGATGATGATGGATGGCTATTGAATGTGCAGCGGCAAATTGAATTAATGGAAGATACCCGAAGGGGACATTCAAAACCCCATTAGTAGAAAAGAAACTGACAACGAGCTGAAAACGAAAGTCGACGAAAAGACAAACAATTCTACAAAACACTACATAGGAAACTAAAGACTGAGAAACACGAAACCACTTCACAGGTACCGGAATGGTCAGTAGATCCTGCTACACTAGCGGCGCTTGTCATGTTGCTCATGAAAACTACAACTTTGGTGATAAGTTTTATCTGGACCTGTCACAATAGAGGAAAAAAGTATAACAAAAATATAACTCCAAGGCAATTTCAAAAAGAGGAAGTCCATAAAAACTGACAAAATCAAACGCTATCAATCTACCGAACAAAAAACAACTGCCATATTCCTGACTTGGTACAGGAATTTTCCGAAGAAAATGGTGGGTTACATCTGGTTTTATAGCTAGCTACACCTCTCACTTGTATGACAGTTGTTTATAGTTCCGTCATACTGACAAATTGGGTAAGCAACCCAAATAGACATAATAGGTTAATGTGACAATTAAAGGAGGACGGAATTTAAGTTTCTATAATTGGAACATATCCATGGTTATATGTGACACAGATATTCCATAAATGTCAACTCACTCGTGACGGTGTCCGTAATAACGACTTCAACTTTGATATTGTATCAACTCGGTTATAATTACCCCCTATGCAGGCGCTGCTGGAATCTTGCAACATAGAAATGAAAAGTTCACAATATGGAAGCTGATATCATTTTTGTCTTAAAGTTTTGTGCTCAACCAACGCTCATTGCCTATATCTAATTACAAGTCAAGATATGAGACAGACTTGACTATCTGTGGTCGATAGGACAGAGGCGTTCAACATAATCACTAAACTGAATTATTCAGTAAGTTGACATCATCAGTGTAACAGAACGTGATGTTAAATGATAATGCTAGTTTCATTTCATTCTTCACGAGAAGCTCCTGTATGAAATCAAATGTTTTATCAAATATTGTCCAACAATTGTAGAGTGAATGAATAAACATAGACGAGCAGAGTAAAATTAAATGGAGTTTCAGATTGTATATTCTGCACTTCGTAAAGAGCATATGAGCAACCAAATTAAGTTTATAAATTGTAAAATCACAATTTCAGAATAGATACCACTTGAGCAATACTTGCTTTTGTAGCTTCCAGTGCATAGAAATTGTTTGTGATCATCAAGCGGAAGCGCTTCATTCTAAAAATGTACGCACAGTCAACGCTTTTACAACCCTATGAAATTACTAAATGAAGCATGCAATACTTATGATTACATTTTTTTGCTATGATCATGCAAACACGATTACTATCATTTTTTTCTTTTATTTACCTGTTCACCTTTCTGTGGAAACGTGTGTCATCATGTATGTTACAATTCATGCAATTCATTTTGAAATGAAGAATGACACGAGATTTCTGTTAGCCAATCAAAATAACGTATAATAATGAAACATACATCTAACGTAATTATAAAAAAATTAAACTCCCTTCAAGACGTTAAAGGGTAAAGTTAGTGACAACAGTAGTTAACTGTTGCTCAAATCCCGAAAATCCACACAAACACCAAGTTTAAAGAACTAAAAGAAATCTGAACTAGAACGATTGCATCGACGACATATACGTTAGTTGAGAAACAGACTTACTGTATAAGTTAACAGCTTATGAAGGTGATCTTAAAAAGTAAAATAACCAAAATACCGAACTCCAAGCGAAATTCAAAACGGAAAGTCCTTTAAAAAATGGCAGAATCAAAAGCTCAAACACATCTAATGAATGGAAAACAACTGTCATATTCCTGACTTGGTACAGGCATTTCCTTATATAGAAAATGGTGGATTAAACCTGGTTTTATGGCTAGCTAAACCTCTCACTTGTATGACAGTCGCATAGAATTCGCATTAAAACGCGTGTATAATGTCGATTTCAGTTGTTCTCACTTATTGCACCATAAAGGAGTTTATGCATTAGGATCACACCTGTCAATAAAGTTTATATAATGAATAGCAGGTTTTTTGTTTAAGAAAATTCCTTTTTCAAATTAAAAAAATAAAATGTATTTGTGTTTAGCAAAACCCTCTTGAACATTATAACCATTTCTTCAAGACACTATTTGTTTACCATAATACCTTCTTCAGCACTTAGTCATCATACAAGATTGTGTGTGTGTTTTTTTTTTTTATCTCTTATCCTTTAATCTATAGCTATGCACTGCAAACGTAATTGTATTATACATAATCATTTATACCTTTTGTGAATGTTTTATTTTTTATTAAGGTTTCTCTTTACAAACACTTAATTCTATACATCTATACACAGTTATATTACATTATATAAATGACAAAACAATGAAAAATTATAAAATAAGGGATCATCTTAGTTAGTGACGGTTCTTTTTGCAAAAGGATAAGGGTACGTTTAATTTTAACTACTCATCTAATTATAAAAAAATAAAACATACACACTAGTCCAAAATGGTAGCATTGGTCCAGTAGTCCTTGTTTCGCCACTAACATGACTAATACATACTTGGCTTTCAAATGTTTTTGCTTTGAGCATTCCTAATGAAGGTATATATAGACAAGTGTTTCGGACGCTACGACTCTTTTCAGCACTGGGTCGATGCCTGTGCTGGTAGATTGTTAGTGCCAGAGGGTAGTCCAACAGTCAGGATTTAAAACACTTTTATGAAGTTTCCGTTGATAGTGGAAACGTCTAAACTACCGAAAAATCACTAATGTATACAACTATAAAGTTTAAAATGGGACAATACACAACAGAAGGAAAGGCAAATCTATTGTTTAGTAAGTGGATTTGTCTTGTTTGGTACCTTTAATGTTACACAATAAGACATGTTCGTTACTGACATCAAAATCTTTTTCCTTATATAACTAAGACTTTAGTCATCCGATTGTTTACACAACATCAAAGTTTAAAAAAAACCAAAACAATTGTATGTGAATAAAGTTAAGAAATAATACGAAATATCCTCTCAATTTTATGAAAGAAGAAGATAACAAGGGGATAAGATATGACCGAAAGCATGTCAAAAATTGTGCAAAATTGGAATAAGATCGGATTTGTGTGTTTCGGCATAGATTAAGAAGATACCATAGAAATACAAAATGTTTGAGAGAAAGGGCAAATTTTAAGCTCCAGCCCTTACTCACGTTTTCTCAATGAAAAAGGAAGCCGTACATATGTTACCGATATCAAAATGTATATATCTTATCAATGTTTACACAAAGTTTCATATGTAGTATCCTTAGTGTAACTTGCAGTTGATTTTTAATTCTCAGTCATCGATATATATCCATTTTTCAGGCGATCGTCATAATAGATTTCAGACGGAAGGTTTTCGTGAGACAAAGTTAAATGTTTCCCAAGTTTATTCTCCTTTACTTTCAGGAATGACATCACTTCCTCTGTCAACTCCATAACGACGTAACCAGTTCGTGGTCTCTCTGGCTTTTTTGGTGCCGATAGAGTAGCGAAAGAGGAATATTGATCGTCTACTTCCGGTATGTTACGCGATTTAATTTCTTTTCTATGTAAAGTATTTCGCACACAGTCTTGGAAGTTTGCGTCACGGAAGTCAACATGTGATTCGTCGTCACTAAGATCACTTTCCTTTGATTTTACCCAAACCCTTGTGTTTTCATAGTCCACGAGAATCTGTTGAGAATTATTTAGACTATTTTCGGACATGGTGTTTCCGTCCAGTTTTTTAATGTTAATGTAAGAATGACGGATGTCGTGACAACATGGTGGGCCTTCTTCTGGATTTGGAATTAAAACAACACTTGGAACAGACATATAATGGCTCTCCCTCTGATGAAGTGGAGAGTTCTGATCTTTGAAGGCTTCATCTAGAAGTTCTTTAAAATGATCGCTTGTGGCTAATTTATCTTCACTGTTGAAAATCCATGTTTTCTGTAAGGTACTAGGTATGTTTGATTTCCGGTAGCTTGGTACAGTTCTAATACAGTCGTCTTTGGATCTGCGACTAGGTGGGTTTGGTGCCATTGCATGTGGTAATGGATCCTCGATTGGCGGTGGTGGTGGTGGGGGCAATGGTGGTAGAGACATATTATCTAGTTCGTCCTGCTGATAGTTCCTGAAAATAAATTCATATTACTATGCTGTCTATTTTTCAATATAGATCTAGAAGAAAACATATTTTGTTGTGTATCGTTTGTTTTATCAATCTTTTCATTTACTCATTTTACAATAAAAAACAGATTTATATAAGTCAGGTTATCCGAGTATTCAAACTCAAAGCATCAAATACACACCAATGGTTCCTAATTCCAGAGGCTAACTTCTTAATATATATTTCTATATATGACCTTTTCCCATATTCAGAAGCTTTGAGCGAAATGCTTTCGCAGTCATAGATAAAACAGAATAGTCGTTTGGTCTGTAAATTTACCGTTTATGTCCTATTTCATATTCATTCGTTTTAGTTGAGTGTTGATTCGCATGGTGGGGGATACCATATCGGCACACCCTACTTTGGATACATGCATACCCTATCGACACACCCTTCTTTGGATACATGCGTACCCTATCGGCACACCCTCCTTTGGATACATGTGTACCATATCGGCACACGCTACTTAGCATACATGCGTACCATATCGGCACACCCTACTTTGATACATGCGTACCATATCGGCACAACCTACTTTGGAAACATGCATACCATATCGGCACACCCTACTTTGGATACATGCATACCATATCGGCACACCCTACTTTGGATACATGCATACCATATCGGCACACCCTACTTTGGATACATGCGTACCATATCGGCACACCCTGCTTTGGAAACATGCGTACCACCATATCGGCACACCCTACTTTGGATACATGCGTACCATATCGGCACACCCTACTTTGGATACATGCGTACCACGTGACCATATCGGCACACCCTACTTTGGATACATGCGTACCATATCGGTACACCCTACTTTGGATACATGCGTACCATATCGGCACACCCTACTTTGCATCGTTTGGAGTTCAATTTGTTCCTGAAGATTTTATTTTTATCTTGATTACTTTATACTGAATTAAATTTACGATTTAAACATCAATAAACGACATGTACCGTTGCCTGTCACTTGTCAATCAAATAACTGTTTCCAAACTATATTATGTTTGTAAAAAATATGTTTAAACACTCATGATACATGCTATTAAAAGGAAATTTACACTTGTCGGATATAGCTAAGCGTTTTCACTAAGATGACATTAAAAAAACATCTGTTTTTGATGCAAAATGCAAAAAAAATCCTGATTTAGTTCATTACAATTCACCGGTGTCATTGGCATGAATTCTATGACATGACACTTGTTCAAAGTGAAACACATAGTTAATCTAGAGGGTTAAGTAGAACCTCGGTAGTATTGTCTTCTGTCAAATATCAATTTCTGTTTAATTTATTTCAAACTTTTATGGACTCGGGATTATTTAGAGGTACCATAGTGACATTTTACTGTTCTCTATTTATATGTCTTTTGATTATTTTTCGGTTGGGTTGTCTTTTTGACGGATACACAACACATCTTTTTATTTAAATCAATAATTGTACCTTTCGAAATTATGTATGCAATCTCCACCTATGTCTGTCTGTATACCTCGATGTCTGCTGTCGGTAATGAATACAGCTGTAATTAAAATGATATTTGGATAAGATTAAAACACTGTTTTTTTGTATTGACATGAAACTAGGGATCAGTAAACATCACCTTTAAAAGGTTTTAAAACCAGGTTCAACCCACCATTTTTTTCTTAAAATGTCCTGTACCAAGTCAGGAATATGGCAGTTGTTATCAAATAGTCCGTTTCTATGTATGTTGGAGTTTGTTTTTTGTAGCAGTTAAGTGTTTATGTTGTTCCGTTGTTTTCCTCTTATAGTTGATGTGTCCCTCGGTTTTGGTTTGTGACCCGGATTTGTTTCAGTTAAATCGATTTATGACTATTGAACAGCGGTATACTGCTGTTGCCTTTATTTAAAGCTTCATACAAATAAGTTGATATTATTCTGACTATGATCTTATTTTGTATATACATTATACAACAGAATCGAGTGTGAAACGATATTTCTCCACCCATGACAGTTACATTGTGAAATGTTACTGTCGAGAGTGGAAAAATATCGTATATCATGATATATGACAGTGGAATCTGTTTCAGACTTTTGATCTGGATTCGATATGATGGCATCTTTCTTCACTGATGATCTGCTAAAAGATTGTGTTCTTTATATATGGCGTCATCAAGCACTAAACAATTTTCTTGGTGTAGCAAAATCAGAGAAAAGCAAAAATATTTAACGACATGGTTGAATTTAGGCCAACGAAGAACCGCGATCAATTAATACCAACGTCAATTATAACAAAAATAATCAACTGGTTGGGAAAGAATTAATCAAGTAGAAATATGTTTTCAAAAAACAAATTGAGCCAATAGTTTTAAAAGATAGTTCAGAAACTCTTTAATAACGTTACGCAGTCTGGACTAATCTTAAATGCCGCCTTGACTAACCAGAACACCCACAGCAGCTACATTCCCATAATGTAACATCGATTCCAAATTGATCCACTAGTATTGCATAAATCAAACAGAAGTCGAAAGTGTCATCATAATTTGAATGCAATTTTTTACCCTTTTTTCATCGGACCGACGAGAGCACCGGCATTGTTTAACACAATTTTAAAGGTTTTCTGAACCGACCTGCATCCATTACTTTTTTTCTCTGTCTTTAATATTAAGAGAGGCGAAAGATATCAAAGGGAAATTCAAACTCATAAGTTAAAGTATTGTTTCCTCTGTAATGGTATTTATAAATACACAGTGTTCATAGCACTATTATGTAACTTGCCTTCTGTTCTTCTCTGTTCCCTGAGTTCCACCATTCCGTCCAATTGGAATGCTGCATCATGGTCCCAGTACACGGCGTTGTCATGATGGAAGCTCTCTTCTCGTTCTCTGGGTTTCCTGTAATGACTCAAATAAATAATGAACGCTAACGGTATTTCCATTATTTAGAGAAATAACATGAGTATGGCCAATTAAAAACCATGTAAAGCAATGATGTTGAAAAATTAAAATGTGAACATGCAACTCATTTAATATTGCTTTCCTCACTCATATGAATGTATATAGGTCAATCAAAAGAATCTTAGGGAGCTACCATTTGATTTTTATGGGGGGGGGCTAGGATGAAAAATTTTGTCCTGCATTTTTTTTTGTTGTAATCTCTGTCCTGCCTTTTTATTTTTCACTCTATTCAGTCCTGCCTTTTTTTTATTAGTTTAACCTGACTTTTTTTACATAAATTGTCATCCTGCTTTTTTTTTGGCAAAGTTGCTCATCCTGCCTTATTTTTTTACTCAAAACTCCTGTCCTGCCTTTTTTTCTTCAAATTTCATCCTAGCCCCCCCCCCCCCCCCCCCCCCCCCCCCCATAAAATTCAAATGGTAGCTCCCTTTTTGTATATGATATGCAAATGAAGCTTTATTGAAACCAAATGTTTATACTTACAGCGATCGTCGTTTTCTATAGTAACATTTAAATAAAACAACGGTCACAATGATACCCAGGATGAGTGCGACTGATGCGTAAACTGAAAGTATAAAAACAAGTTTTATACAACGACACTCAGAAGGAATAAGACAGGAGTGTAAACTGAAAGTATAAAAACAAGTTTTATACAACGACACTCAGAAGGAATAAGACAGGAGTGTAAACTGAAAGTATAAAAACAAGTTTTATACAACGACACTCAGAAGGAATCTGATAGGAGTGTAAACTGAAAGCATAAAACACGGTCAACACATGCTCAAACTCTGGTGACGTTTTATATAGTCTGAGTAGCAGCTGCAAGCTCTTGAATACCAAATGAGTTGGGAAATGTATATCCCATATGCCGGTGAAGTTGGTATTGCTGCTAATGTGGGGGAAATTTATAATTTCAAAATGAAAATCGTCTCGTTTGTCATAGATTCCGGTACTGAGATGACCGCTTATGTCAAATTCGAGGTATAAGTCTAAAAAAGGGAAGAGGAAGCCGTGTCTGTTGTTTCTTTAAACTCTTGAGTTGTGTTTCGGACGAATGCTATAAAAGACTGGCGAAACATTCCAGTTGATTTACAGACTTATCTCCCTTTACGCTGGTCTTACCCCGCGCCTTTAAGTTTTATTTTGATTCGGTTCACATATAACAATACAAAGAGCTTTTTACTATTTCTGATATTGTTGTAGCTTTGAGTGTTTATTTAAATAAAACTGTGAAAACCAAAACCAAATTTTATCGGAAGTATTGTTTCTATCATATATAAATTGTTTCAATTGTTTTCGGATATCCTTGAATACAAATTCTTCGAAATGATTACAAAATGGAAAAGTGTATCAAAATTATGATGAACTGCATTTTTAATTTCGTGGAATGGTTTGAAATAATATGGTATTTGTTAAATGTTAAAATATTATATATTAATATTAATTAAACTCTTGAATATTTAACATTTAGTAAGATTCATCAACTCTCCGGTATCGCTTCTGCGACGAAAACTATTACAAGAAAAAGTGGCCACTTCTCTGTACCCTTTTTGTCGTGCTTTACAAAAATTATGAGACTTGATATGATTTTCAATGAGACAACTGTGTTCGTTGACCTTTAACAATCACACTGGATAATATTTTCAAGGAGCGTATACCAAAACAAAACGTTTTGGCCAACAGTGCTTTCAAAAATGTACTTAACTTATGGAAATGGCGTAACGTTACTTATTTGGTTTAAAAGAAATGAAATGACACAATCCATTAGAGTATGAGGCGGCGAAATACATATTTATGTTTAAAATCAATAAAGCTTAATGTTAAAGTGTTAAATTTAAGGATGTACTGGGCCTGTACATAAATACGGTCATCCAAAGGCTTCTTTTGTCGTCCAACAGTAAATCCCTCGCTAAACTGGGGTTTCTGTTTTGCTATTCATGATTATCCAGTCACGTCCGGTCTAAATGGGGACGTTAAATGCGATACCTTGTGTTGAGTTAGTGCCACGCTCTCTTCACTTTAAAGAAAAATTGCAATAACTCTCAGAGGAGTCCCTTTGACAAGAAAACAATTCTGACCCTTTCCAACCTACCGTCATTTCTCAGTCTCAGTCCAAATATCGTCTGCACCCTGATTGACCAATCGTGCAAAACCCCTATTGTATTAATTGATAATTTGTTCTTGTTCTAAATGTGTATGCAATATCTGCCAATGGACGTTAAGCAAACAATAATTGATTTAAAAGTGTTATTCCTGGCGGTGTATATAATTTTGTTTTACTTTATATTTACCAGACTCAAGCTGGCGGCCACTTTCAGCAGCCAATCAAGATAGCACGCACATTTTCCAGCAGCCAATTTTAATGATATGTTTAAAAAAAAAACCAAAAAAAAAAAACTGTATAAGACTCAAACGTTTCAAAAATATCAAAATCTTAGATAAATATAATAGCATCTCCTGTGACAGCGGAATTCGACACTTTCACTTTTAAGATGACAATCCGATGATGCCAGAAGCCACATTTTTGGAGGATACTGTTTAGTTAAAAAAAATGAAGCCTTTAAAATCGTGTTTTCCTTTTTTTTTCTCTCGTTTTTAATTCCGTAAGATTATCATGATTATAGGAGGTACAGAAACAATGTAAGAATGGAAAATTAAAAAATCAAAGTACAACTACTATTGTTAATATTGGATTTAAGTACGTTGTGATGAATTGTGTTATTACATCGCGATGACCGTGAGTGCATTCCGATGTATTGTTGCCGACGAGATTTCTACTTACGTAACTTTCGTGTTTGACTGGTAACCGATCTATAAATACGCGGACATTATCGAGTGCAAAATAACATTCCTTATCGCTTGTTATAAATTCATTTCTTAAATGAATACTCATAAAATATTCTTGTTTAGAACATAAATTAATAATATGAAAATGTTTTGTCGTTAGAAATATATATATAAGTAAAAAATCATTGAAAATATCTATCCACACGTACAGAAAAATTGTGTTAACGCATGCGGAAGAATATCTCAAGAACGTTTTGCGGGAAAATATAAATGCCTGCTCAAATCCAATCTATTAGAAAAATCATATTATTACAGAAGAGTGTCCACCATGCACTTGCACTGCACTATTATTAGAATAGTAAAATAGTATGATATACAAATGCATGAAAATTATATTTTATACATGTAACTGTTATATACAAACATTAATATGGTATATAACAACAAACCAGAGTATACTGATTTGTATCACTACAATATAATAGTTATTACGGTGACGTTGAATTCCCTGTCATTTATTCATTATCCACGCACGAACTTGTCTCAGAAAAAAATATATCTCTGTTCATTAACCTCACTTTCAGGTATACATATGTGATTTATTTTCCTGAGACAAGTGCTTGTGACCATCCACAAGAACTTGCGGTCATCCGATGTTCAGTACTTCAGTACTTTGATATATATATATATATATATATTTCCATTGGTCTGAATTAGAAAGATGCAGTGTAAGACAGAACACTACATACAGGCTTTCCATACACTCAGTTTAAAACATTTTTAATATCTATTTCTCTATACATGAAATGAAAACATCTCAATATACTTGTTATGTGAATCTGTGCTGTAATGTGAACAAGTAGTTTCTATGAAAATCCGACGGTGGACTTTTTTGTACGGCATGCAGCATTACTAATTTATTAATGTAAATTTGTAATTCTCTTTGTCAAATGTGCCAGTTCAATAATTGATAGATGACTAAGACATTGGATCACAACTATGCACTTAAGATGCAATATTAAACCAGAATATATTCAATGCATGGCCAAAAGTTTTCAATTTAACCCAGATTGTCAAAAACTGTCATGTATAGGAAATGCCGAGGAGTACCGAATGTGTGTGTGATTGACATGGTCAATACGTAAAGTTGCAGCTTTGGACCCCTGTGGTGTGAAGATGGGAAACGTACGTTGTGGGGCAACTTTGGACCCCTGTGGTGTCAAGACAGGCCCGGATCCCAGAAAAATATTTAAGTGAAGAACAGCCTCGGTCAATACCTTTGTAATGAGCTAGGTCCGGTTCTGAAATTTGCCGTAGGGACTAACCTAGCCTGGCATCCTGACCCAATCTAATACTTCGTCGACTGTCGAGCAGTGAGCCAGGATCCCAAGCTAGGACTAACCGAGGAGTATCGAATGTATGGTTGACATTGAAAATTCGTAAAGTTGCAGCTTTGGACCCCTGTGGTGTCTAGACGTACCCTAATCCCAGGAAGATATTTAAGTGAACGATGGCCTTGGTCAGATTATAGATATTCACAAATATTATTATTGTGTATATTCTAATTAATTTGATTCGTTTAGAAAGAGCCACACGTTCAACTATATTTTCAAAGGTAGACTGAAAACAGTAGATAGAAAAGTGATATTGCACGTTTTTTTTTTAGAATAGTGATATTGGACGGTTATTTTTAGAATATCTGACACAATCGAAACAACCAAGCAAATGAATTGGTGCTCTACTTCTGGCTTATTAACAATAATAATATAACAATTGTAGCCTTTTTATGAGGTCGATACGAGGATATATCGACATAAAGAAGTATATCGACCTCGGACTTCGTCCTCAGTCAATATACTTCTTTCAGGTCAATATATCCTCGTATCGACCTCATACAAAGGCTATATTTGTATATTATTGTTATTGTAATGCATACATGTTTAAAGCAATACAGTCTATAAGTTCAAATCATACAATTGCTATAATAATCCTATATACAACAAGACAAAGCCACACACAATTTGCTTAACACACCTTCATCGACGGCCAGGGACAACTGGAGATAAAAAAAACCGATATGAGTAGAACAAAAAGCACTAGAAACCAGTGTCAAACGATGACAAGTGCACCATCCCGTCTCCAGAGTCAGGTGCTCGGACCTATTCCTTAAAAATGTATAAATCAAATGTTTTCATTAATAAAAATGTTTATCAAGAATTAATTTTAGTGTTCACTCGTTGCATGACAACTAGAATATGACCCTATACTTTATTTCCAGAAAGTCACCTATTGGTCACTAAAAGTTACCCTATTATATATGAATACGACCTGTGATCGTCAATACAATATTTTCCCGCTATATTTAAACGAAACGCGCGAAAATACAAAGAACGCGACCTTTACGATATCAATTCATATAAAACAGATTAACATACGTGCTGTGGTTATTGAAGGTTCCCAAAAGTCATCTTTTCCGGTACCAGACGCTGTATCAGTAGAATAAGTGGTGGTCAGCATTGGATTTGTAAGATCTGAAATGAATTAGGTTTATATTGAAATTTATAAAATCCGAACAATTATTGAAAATAAGTGGAAACCGTATCGATGCCAAAGACTCGCGTAATACAATTTTGAATTTACGTCTCCTGCTATGGACACATCACTCGACATGCGAATCCTAATCAAACGACTCGTCTGGTGTCTTTAGATAGCGGTATAAAGAATCCACTAGATACATGTAAACGCAAAACGACAAGCAACAGTCCAAAAATACAACACAGAAAACCTTAATTAGCTTCTAAAATGGAATAAATTTTATCAAACAGTACCTCGTGAACAGAACACATTACCGCTGATTCTCTCCTTACATCTATTCAATGACATAACAACATGCATAAGACGTTTTATAAATGTTGGGCGATAATAATAAAAAAACATACGTGTATAATAAAAAGTAAAATCACAAAAATACTGAACTCCGAGGAAAATTCAAAAAGGAAAGTCCCCAATCAAATGGCAAAATCAAAAAAACAAACACATCAAACGAATGGATAACAACTGTCATATTCCTGACTTGGTACAGGCATTTTCTTATGTAGAAAATGGTGGATTGAACCTAGTTTTAAAGCTAGCTAAACCTTAAATAATTACACAGGTTATCTTCATTTGGCTCGGACATTTATATTGTCTATTGATAATCGCCGATTCTCTCCTTACATCCATTAGAAGACATAACAACATGCATAAGACGTTTTCAATTCAATTCAATTCAATTCAATATTTATTGTTAAGAGCACAATAGAGGCGTGATCCAAATACAGACAATAATATATTCAACAACATATAAATGAAATATAGATCCATGTAACAATAAGTCATAAGTAAATTCTATGGATACCATAACATTCAGAACTCATAATGATACCATACACATATACAGCATGATTATTCTAAGTTTTCATAATTTTACTTAAAAACACAATCACCTATATAAGATATACATGTATGGGTATATGCACAAGCGGTTATAAAGGATTATTATCCGATGAAACAGTATGATGGTCTCTCAAATCAAGAGCTTTTTCAATATACATACAAATTGATTTTAGTTCTTTTTCAGAATTAGGATTTAAAATTTTGATAAAATTTTCATCCAAATTATTTGAATTTATACCATTGATTTTGTATTTAGATCTAATTTTGTTATATTGAGGACATTCAATCAAGAAATGTATCTCATTTTAAATTGGTCCTGTGCAAAATTTACAAAATCTCTCATTAGAGGGTATTATTGGTCTTGCATACCTACCAGTTTCTATTGCTAATGAGTGTGCACTTATTCTTAATTTAGTGAGTTTTTTTCTAAGATATTTAGGAACATTAAAGTTTAAATATTCTTGTTGTTTAAATTTAGTATAAATTTTACTAAAAATAAACGTTTACCACAGTTTCCATCTCTTATTTTAGATAGTTCAAATATAATTTTATTTTTGTAGAAATCTTCTAGTTTCTGTTTGAAATTAATATTACAATGCTTGTTTAAGGGTATTCCGATATTTTTTGATAATTCAGATAATTTATTAGACCATGAATTTTCTCTACTTGTTAGAGTTTTGTCCACTTCAAAAGCAGCCTTGAGAATTTCATGTGGACCACCAGACCGTTCACCAATATCACTGAGACGCACATAGTATTTTTACATAAGTTGATAACATTTAATGCTAATAAGTAATATACCCAATTCGCACCGTACTGCTAGATTGGAAGACTTTCCATGAACCCCAAGTGTTTTTTTAAATATGGAGTTTTGTGTTTTTTCAAATTTACTTTTGACTAATGCTTCAAAATTTGGTTTGAATTCTGATATCCATACTACTGATCCATAAGTTAAAATAGGAATTATCATTGAGTTAAAGAGCTGGAGCCAAGTTTTAACAGACAAGTTTTCACTATGTGGGAGTTTAGACTTCAACGCAAAATATGCTTTTTTAGCTTTATCTGAGAGGCTTGACACTGCCTGTATAAATTTTCAAGAGCTATATGAATTTTATAAACGTTTTATAAATGTTTTATAAATGTTTTGATAACAATAAATGTTTTGGTAACAAATATACATACGTGTAGAATTTGGCTCCGACATTTACATTGTCTATTGATAATCCATTTTCTATAAATCATTCTAATGATAAATAATCAATTAATATTCGACAAGGAAATAAAAGACTTGTATTTTCAATTTATTATTTCCTTACTTTTTCAATGAGTGTTTATAGATCACTCATTTCCGGGAAGTTTATACAATATTAATTCAATATTATTTTTCATAGTCTGGCATAATTACACCGTTAAAATAATTAATCTAGCTCTTTTTTCGATTTTGTTTTCTTGTCATATATATACGTTTTTGTGATGGAGTTTTAGTTTGGAAACGACCAATTGATTTTCGGGGGGGGGGGTTAGGATTTTGAAAATGAATACCATGGCCTGGTAAGAGCTTAAAATAAACAACCTTGCATACGACAGGATGAAAATGAATATTCTGCAGCACAAAATGCAGGAAGCAATTGTGTACAAAAGTGCAAATATTTTTTCGCGCGGCATGCAAAGCAACAGATGAAAATGAATAGTCACTCCGCAAGAAAATCCCATGCCAATGTCGTTCAAAGTTTTAGTGTTTTACTTTATACTTTAATTTTGGGATAACATTTAATTAATATGTTTATCTGCTTGATGCAATACTATGCTTATCTATTTGCTGAATTATTATGCTTATTATTTAACCATGCATGTGTAGTATTGTGTTTAGTTTATTTAACCATGCATGTGTAGTATTGTGTTTAGTTTATTTAACCATGCATGTGTAGTATTGTGTTTAGTTTATTTAACCATGCATGTGTAGTATTGTGCTTTTTATTTAACCATGCATGTGTAGTATTGTGCTTAGTTTATTTAACCATGCATGTGTAGTATTGTGTTTAGTTTATTTAACCATGCATGTGTAGTATTGTGTCTAGTATATTTAACCATGCATGTGTAGTATTGTGTCTAGTTTATTTAACCATGCATGTGTAGTATTGTGTTTAGTATATTTAACCATGCATGTGTAGTATTGTGTTTAGTTTATTTAACCATGCATGTGTAGTATTGTGTCTAGTATATTTAACCATGCATGTGTAGTATTGTGTCTAGTATATTTAACCATGCATGTGTAGTATTGTGTCTAGTATATTTAACCATGCATGTGTAGTATTGTGTCTAGTATATTTAACCATGCATGTGTAGTATTGTGTTTAGTATATTTAACCATGCATGTGTAGTATTGTGTTTAGTATATTCAACCATGCATGTGTAGTATTGTGTCTAGTATATTTAACCATGCATGTGTAGTATTGTGTCTAGTATATTTAACCATGCATGTGTAGTATTGTGTTTAGTGTATTTAACCATGCATGAGTAGTATTGTGTTTAGTGTATTTAACCATGCATGTGTAGTATTGTGTCTAGTATATTTAACCATGCATGTGTAGTATTGTGTTTAGTTTATTTAACCATGCATGTGTAGTATTGTGCTTTTTATTTAACAGTGCATGTGTAGTATTGTGTTAAGTTTATTTAACCATGCATTGTAGTATTGTGTTTAGTATATTTAACCATGCATGTGTAGTATTGTGTTTAGTATATTTAACCATGCATGTGTAGTATTGTGTCTAGTATATTTAACCATGCATGTGTAGTATTGTGTCTAGTATATTTAACTTTAACCATGCATGTGTAGTATTGTGTTTAGTGTATTTAACCATGCATGTGTAGTATTGTGTTTAATGTATTTAACCATGCATGTGTAGTATTGTGTTTAGTGTATTTAACCATGCATGTGTAGTATTGTGTCTAGTATATTTAACCATGCATGTGTAGTATTGTGTTTAGTATATTTAACCATGCATGTGTAGTATTGTGTCTAGTATATTTAACCATGCATGTGTAGTATTGTGTTTAGTATATTTAACCATGCATGTGTAGTATTGTGTTTAGTATATTCAACCATGCATGTGTAGTATTGTGTCTAGTTTATTTAACCATGCATGTGTAGTATTGTGTCTAGTATATTTAACCATGCATGTGTAGTATTGTGTTTAGTGTATTTAACCATGCATGAGTAGTATTGTGTTTAGTGTATGTAACCATGCATGTGTAGTATTGTGTCTAGTATATTTAACCATGCATGTGTAGTATTGTGTTTAGTTTATTTAACCATGCATGTGTAGTATTGTGCTTTTTATTTAACAGTGCATGTGTAGTATTGTGTTTAGTTTATTTAACCATGCATGTGTAGTATTGTGTTTAGTATATTTAACCATGCATGTGTAGTATTGTGTTTAGTTTATTTAACCATGCATGTGTAGTATTGTGTTTAGTATATTTAACCATGCATGTGTAGTATTGTGTTTAGTTTATTTTACCATGCATGTGTAGTATTGTGTTTAGTATATTTAACCATGCATGTGTAGTATTGTGTTTAGTTTATTTAACCATGCATGTGTAGTATTGTGCTTTTTATTTAACAGTGCATGTGTAGTATTGTGCTTTTTATTTAACAATGCATATGTAGTATTGTGTTTTTTATTTAACCATGCATGTGTAATATTGTGCTTTTTATTGACCATGCATGTGTAGTATTGTGCTTTTTATTTAACCATGCATGCGTAGTATTGTGCTTTTTATTAAACCATGCATGTGTAATATTGTGCTTTTTATTTACATGTTTAACCATGCATTTGTAGTGTTTTGTTTTTTATTCAAAAAGAGAGGCGAATGATACCAGAGGGACATTCAAACTCATAATTCGGACATAAACTGACAACGCCATGGCTAAAAAAGAAAAAGACCAACAGACATATAGTACACAAAAAACAACATAGAAAACTAAAGAATAAGCAACACGAACCCCATCAAAAACTGGGGGATTATCTCAGGTGCTCCGGAAGGGTAAGCCGATCCTGATCCACGTGTGGCACCCGTCGTGTTGCTCATGTTAGTACAAACCAGGTAATAAGTCTAATACGGTAGGTCACATGTGTGTGTATTATTGTGCTTTATTTATGTAGCCATATATGAAAACAAAGGATATGGGGTATCCATCCATGACACAAAATCAGTCCACGCACAGCAAAAAAACACACAAAAAGCAAAGTAACAGCGCTTTATAATAGGAATAGTCTAATATATCAAATAAAAAGAAAAAAAGATGATTTATGGACAAAAAGTAACCTTACATTTAATTTTTTTTTTAAAATTATTTATGATTCAAATATGATTTCAAAAATAGTTCCTATCTTTTGATTAACAAAACATTAAATTTACCTAGTAACTTTTCTTTAATTATATATGTTTTTCTTGCCTTAATCAAATATCATCACATATTTAACGAAAGTATTCTTGCCAAACTAGGTTATTGTATAGATGACCATGCATTCTTTAACCATAAACAATATTTCTCGTTATTGATAAAATCCATTTTTTGGTTATTAATCATTATATAAATTTAAGATTGGTATATCAATCGCAAGCTTTCAATTCTATCTATTGCAAATCAATGTTTGAATACAAGAACTCTTAACATTTGTATTGAAGTAGTTTAACTATATTGACCTTATTTTCAAAACATTTCAACAACGTTATTTAATGTACTGTACTATAATATTGTGTTTATATTTATAATTAATTAAATAAATATAACAATAGAGGTCAGTATCGATTATGAAATAAGATAAAAGCAAATGATTTTTATAGAGTATACTTCAATGAGGAAATAACAGACGGATATGTTCCATTTGTCATAGCCACAACTCACGGATATATTCCATTTGTCATAGCCACCAATTACGGATATATTCCATTTGTCATAGCCACAACCCACGGATATGTTTCATTTGTCAAAGCCCCATCCCACAGATATGTTCCATTTGTCATAACCCAACCCATGGATATGTTCCATTTGTCATAGCCCAACCCACGGATATGTTCCATTTGTCATAGCCCCAACCCAGAGATATATTCCATTTGTCATAGCCACAACCAACGCGGATATGTTCCATTTGTCATAACCCAACCCATGGATATGCTCCATTTGTCATAGCCCAACCCATGGATATGTTCCATTTGTCATAGCCCTAACCCACGGATATGTTCCATTTGTCATAGCCACAACCCACGGATATGTTCCATTTGTCAAAGCCCCAACCCACGGATATGTTCCATTTGTCATAGCCACCAATTACGGATATATTCCATTTGTCATAGCCACAACCCACGGATATGTTCCATTTGTCATAGCCCCAACCCACGGATATGTTCCATTTGTCATAGCCACCAATTACGGATATATTCCTTTGTCATAGCCACAACCCACGGATATGTTCTATTTGTCATAGCCACAACCCACGGATATGTTTCATTTGTCATAGCCACAACCCACGGATAAGTTCCTTTTGTCATAGCCACAACCCATTGATATGTTCCTTCTGTCATAGCCACAACCCACGGATATGTTTCATTTGTATAGCCTCAATCCTATCCTCTTTTCCTCGTTTATGCCATTTTATTCCACTGTGCAACATCACGAGCGCAACTAGTGGAGCAAAAAGTGCTTTTCTTTACCATTTAATTATTGATCAAGTTCGCTATTTTGTGATGCTCATACTGCATGCTCCATCTTTTGTTTTCTATGTAGAGTTTTATGAAATGTTGTTTTTCTATTCGTCGTATCTATTTAGGCCATGGTGTTGTAACCTCTTAATGTTTTTTTTTGGAAAATTGGGTTTTAAAGTCAGAACTTTGGTTGTTGCCGTTAAATATATTCAAAGCTTTTACGGACTCGGGACTACATATCGCATCAAATATTGTTCGCAGTTACTAACGCTGAGTCATGGTTGACAGTCTACCCCAACCTATAGTAGCGCATTTAGAAAAAAAGCTCTGACGGGTGACCAAAATTCTTCTTTAAGATTAGCAAGACCTTAATTTTATTAAGATTGATATATTTTATATACTATGTATAACTGTAAAATCGATAAGATCATAATAAACTCTTAATCAATCATTATCACTAGAGATGATTTCACGGTGTTTATATTATTTCCCGATCTTTAACTCTTAATCAATCAATATTACTAGGGATGATTTCACGGTGTTTATATTATTTCCCAATCTTTAACTCTTAATCAATCAATATCACTAGGAATGATTTCACGGTGTTTATATTATTTCCCGATCTTTAACTCTGAATCAATCAATATCACTAGGGATGATTTCACGGTGTTTATATTATTTCCCGATCTTTAACTCTTAATCAATCAATATCACTAGGGATGATTTCACGGTGTTTAAATTATTTCCCGATCTTTAACTCTTAATCAATCAATATCACTAGGAATGATTTCACGGTGTTTATATTATTTCCCGATCTTTAACTCTGAATCAATCAATATCACTAGGGATGATTTCACGGTGTTTATATTATTTCCCGATCTTTAACTCTTAATCAATCATTATCACTAGGGATGATTTCACGGTGATTATAATATTTCCCGATCTTTAACTCTTAATCAATCATTATCACTAGGGATGATTTCACCTTGTTAATATTATTTCCCGATCTTTAACTCTTAATCAATCAATATCACCAGGGATGATTCCACAGTGTGTATATTATTTCCCGATCTTTAACTCTTAATCAATCATTATCACTAGGGATGATTTCACCTTGTTTATATTATTTCCCGCGATCTAAAACTCTTAATCAATCATTATCACTAGGGATGATTTCACGGTGTTTATATTATTTCCCAATCTTTAACTCTTAATCAATCATTATCACTAGGGATGATTTCACCTTGTTTATATTATTTCCCGCGATCTAAAACTCTTAATCAATCATTATCACTAGGGATGATTTCACGGTGTTTATATTATTTCCCAATCTTTAACTCTTAATCAATCATTATCACTAGGGATGATTTCACGGTGTTTATATTATTTCCCGATCTTTAACTCTTAATCAATCATTATCACTAGGGATGATTTCACGGTGTTTATATTATTTCCCGATCTTTAACTCTTAATCAATCATTATCACTAGGGATGATTTCACCTTGTTTATATTATTTCCCGATCTTTTTTTCTGAAAGTAAAGTAACAAAACTGATTTGTCACTCTAAGTTCATTACACTGTCCGGTCACAATAGGTCAACCGCATTTTATGTTATTTTGTCAAACTTTTTTAAAATATTTGTTTCAGAGATCATAATTGATGCCCCAAAATCCAATGAAAAATTTCCTTATGAATATGTTATTTTTACAATTTAAATCCCTTCAATTCATAAATCTGATAAATCTGATATCTTGTTACGACAAATTCTCGGTTTCTTTTTTTCAATACAAACACGGAAATCCAAATGAAGTTATATTAATAATATATTCGTGTTGAAGTTATAAAAAATAATAATAAATGCCTTATTTTTTTAAAAATAGATTAACTTTACAAAACTTTGAATTGTTCGAAATACTAAGGATTTTCTACCACAGGAACAGATACCTTAGCTGTATTTGACTAAACCTTTCGAAATTTTACGTCCCCAATGTTCCTCAACTTCCTACTTGATTTTGACTTTTTTTATTACATCGTCAGTGATAAGTCTTTTGTACAAAATTATAAGCCTGGTATCTTTAATGAGTTTTATTAAACCATTGAGAAAAATATGACAACTGTTATTCTTTACAATTATCCTCAATACAAACAACCAGTAACGTCCATTTTCTTATCCATTTGATTATTTTATATACTGTGGTGGTTCGCAAGATGTATTAATACACATCAAAGTCTGTTGTTTATTTGCAGGATGTACTAATACACAGCCACGTCCGTTAGGTATTGCGGGATGACTAATAAACCTAGACGTCTGTTTGACTACATGTGATGTACTAATACACAGCTACGTCCGTTAGGTATTGCGGGATGACTAATAAACCTAGACGTCTGTGTGTCTACATGTGATGTACTTACAGACAGCCACGTCCGTTAGGTATTGCGGGATGACTAATAAACCTAGACGCCTGTTTGTCTACATGTGATGTACTAATACACAGCCACGTCCGTTAGGTATTGCGGGATGACTAATAAACCTAGACATCTGTTTGTCTACATGTGATGTATTAATACACAACCGTCCGTTAGGTTGTACGGGATGACTAATAAACCTAGACGTCTGTTTGTCTACATGCGATGTATTGTTAGGTTGTGCGGGATGACTAATAAACCTAGACGTCTGTTTGTCTACATGTGATGTATTAATATACAGCCACGTCCGTTAGGTTGTGCGGGATGACTAATAAACCTAGACGTCTGTTTGTCTACATGTGATGTGTTGTTAGGTTGTGCGGGATGACTAATAAACCTAGACGCCTGTTTGTCTACATGTGATGTATTGTTAGGTTGTACGGAATGACTAATAAACCTAGACGTCTGTTTGTCTACATGTGACGTATTACTACACAGCCACGTCCGTTAGGTTGAATGTGCGGGATGACTGATAAACCTAGACGTCTGTTTGTCTACATGTGATGTATTAATACACAGCCACATCCGTTAGGTTGTGCGGAATGACTAATAAACCTAGACGTCTGTTTGTCTACATGTGATGTATTAATACACAGCCACGTCCGTTAGGTTGTACGGGATGACTAATAAACCTAGACGTCTGTTTATCTACATGTGATGTATTAATACACAACCGTCCGTTAGGTTGTACGGGATGACTAATAAACCTAGACGTCTGTTTGTCTACATGTGATGTATTAATACACAACCGTCCGTTAGATTGTACGGGATGACTAATACACCTAGACGTCTGTTTGCCTACATGTGATGTATTAATACACAACCGTCCGTTAGGTTGTACGGGATGACTAATAAACCTAGACGTCTGTTTGTCTACATGTGATGTATTAATACACAACCGTCCGTTAGATTGTACGGGATGACTAATAAACCTAGACGTCTGTTTGTCTACATGTGATGTATTAATACACAACCGTCCGTTAGGTTGTACGGGATGACTAATAAACGTAGACGTCTGTTTGTCTACATGTGATGTTTTGCTAGGTTGTACGGGATGACTAATAAACCTAGACGTCTGTTTGTCTACATGTGATGTATTTTAAGGGTTGTACGGGATGACTAATAAACCTAGACGTCTGTTTGTCTACATGTGATGTATTACTACGGTACATGACCCAGTTCATTTGTTCAAAAGGTTTCGTTGTTTCTTACAGACACCAACACAAAAGTAAATACAGATAATCTAAAAATACAGAAGCCTTTCGAACCTGTCGGACTTTATCCAGGGGCGGATCCAGCCATTTTTAAAAGGGGGAGTTCCAACCATATGTCCCCATTCTAAAGCATTGATCGTCAAAAAAAGGGGTGTTCCAACCCCCGGACCCCTTCCCCCCTCTGGATCCGCCACTGTTATCAATTTATGCTTTGAAGTCTACTACGCGTTGGTCTAACTTACGTCTATCAACTTCTTCCTTCACCAAAAAATAAAACTCACAAAAAATGTGTGCAACTGAGTCAAATCTGAAATCGCTGGATAGCTGATTCAGACTTTCAACTGGAACGCTATAGTTGATAGCTGTTAACGGCTTGTGGCAAATTAAGTGCATAATCAGAACGAGATGATAATGGTGCGACATCATGAATTTGAATCATCTAAAATTTGCTGTTATAAATCTTAGAAAATCGTTTTGAAACAAGGAATGTATCTCCCTCATACCTAGCTCTGATTCCTTGCCCGGGTTTCGTTATACATTTTTGGTTCTTTTCGGTTGTATGAGCTCTTCGAAAATTGTTTTCAAATATTTTTTCTCGTGCACCACTGAAGAGTCTTTTTAATTATCAATACGTGATGCAGTAAAATTGATACCGTTAAGCTATTGTACTCGAACTACACATTGAGTCGGATTTTTAACGTGCCAGTTCACTATGTCTTTGGGAAACAGAACATATCAATTTTCAAGACTTTGGTTTGACTCGGTCGAGAATCGAACACACACATTCTGGGAGAGCACGCTACCACGAGATCAACGAGAGACAGAAAACAAAACTGATAGTTCTAAAGAAATGTAAGTCATTTTGTAGTTGATACATGTAATTATTTGTATGATTTGATGATAATGTGGCGTATAAAATTACTCTTTGTATGATTCAATGATAATATAGCGTATAAATTTAAATGGCGCAAGTAGGGGTACGATATCATGATTTCCCAGCATTCCTTCCTTGGGGAGGATAATGGCAGTTGCACGACACATATTAACTGCTCCAAATATAACTCTGTTATTAATAGCAAGTACAAAATATTTTAAAAATGACGAAAATATTTCATTGAAAATATATGTAACACAATACCGAAAACGAGGATTAATTCATATGAGCATGCGTACAAATCAGATGTAGTGGATTTTGAGTGGGTCAGAAAGCTATGAACTCACAGTTTAACCAAAAGATGAACAAAAATCCAATGTAAAGGGTTTTTGATTCTGTTAATTCTATTAACGAACTATGAAATCACAGATTAACCAAAATCAGAGCACAAATCCGATGTACTTGATTTTGAGTCAGTTGATGAGCTTTGAAGTCGGTTTTCAATTCTTCTTGAAAATTCTCTATTTTCAGATTCAATACACGTTGCACAGCACCGTTTACCCAGTACATCACAAAAGTGCACTTTACTATTCATAAATCTATTTGAACATGTTGGAGTTTTATAGTTACGTTTCTTATATTCTTCAATATATTTATCATTTATGTACGACTTTTTACACGTTTTACAATTAAGAAACTGACTATAGACTGAAGGTACATAACACTGGTCCCTAGCAAATCTTGACATTTTTCCTTCGGCAAATGTATCGATCATCACATAGCGTTTTTCTTGTAATTTATCTTCATCATAGACGTTTCCCTTCACCCTTCTAGATGTAGCTATAGGCGGTAAAATAATAGAATTTTGTCTGGTTAGAAAACTATATAAACTGTCCACTTGTTTACTATAAAGTCCTTCACTGTCATTGTGCTTATTTGGCTTTTCTCTAACAGACAATGGTGTCCATTCTCTGTCCGGCTTCTGCCTAGGTCCTCGGTCAGACAAACACAAAGGGACATTCTTGTCCAGTCGTCTATTACGTGTTGTTTCTCTGATTTCTTCCTTGTCTGTTGTATACGAGGAAGTGTATTTATAGTCATTAGGCAATCTGTCATTACGATGAACGGTCTTACTCACATTCAGCATTACAATTGGAAACCTTAATTCTTTTCTTTTTGGTCTTTTTCGTCGTCTTATCATTTTATAAACTATTCTAAAAAAGAAATTAGATATTTCTAATTAATACATATTTTATTAGACATATTAAGTATTTAACCCTGTATCCTGATCCAAACCATGAACATTTTGTGTCCGATTCTTTACTGTCGATCATTGAAAAGGATCCCGTGATACAAATTTTTGAAATTTGTTATAGTCCTGATTTCTAGCGACACCTGTGCTTACTCGCTCCTATAAAATCTCAATAGATAATATCACTGATCATATTAGTTAGTCGTTTGTTCTTGCACTACTGTTAATTTTGAATTACTGCAGTTGTTAAAAAAAGCTACGTCGGGTATACAACAAGAAGACATGTTTTGGTTCGTGTCTGTCATATTTGTTTTTCAAAAATTGTTTTGTTATAAATTAGACCGTTAGTTTTCTCAATTGAATTGTTTCATATTTTCATGTCGGGGCCAATTATAGTCGACTATACGGTATGGGTTTTTCTCATTGTTGAAGAATGTACGGTTGCCTTTTATTGCTTATATCCACTTTATTTGAACTTTGGTGGATAGCTGTCTCATTGTTAATCATACCACATCTCCTTATTTTTATACTGAGTAACCCACGTCCGATACAAATAAACAAATATGAAAAGAGTTCGATTTCTTAAATTCAAGAACATAAGGAATAAGTAAAAATTCAACATGATTTCCGAGATATTCATTCATTTATAGCAATAACGACGGCTTTTTTTGTTTTTTTTTTGTTTTTGTTTTAAGAAAAAAAGAAGCAGTCAATAATAATAATTCGTGTCACCTGACCATATCGGACTATAAAGTTACTTTCCATAGTCCAATCATACTTTCGACCTTCTTTCAGAATAACCTTACCTTTATTACTAACCCTTACCTATACTGAATATCACTCACTTTCCATACACTTGTCATAACCCAAGAATAGAAGGGAAAAGGAGACGAAACTGACCGAATGTGCTCCTGATTTAAGCACCTTTTTCAGAATTAACACAGAAACGCCAAACGATTTTGCCTTGTCTTGGATTCATTGCGTTGTTTTTTTGCAATGTCATTGAGGTTAATCCAACAATCTTTTGGTCTTAGGAAATCAATTGTCTCATTGGAATCATGCCACATATGCTTAATTTTATATTTAAAAGGCGACGTTGGGTATACATCAAGAAGACAGTAACTGTACGTCCGATACAAATTAGAAATGGCACACGCGTGAACAGAATTCGATTTTTATAAATCCAAGTACAGAAGGAATAGGTAAAAATTCAACATGATTTGCGAGATATTTATCCACCTATTGCAATAACAACGGGTTTTCCCCTTCTTTTGTAATTACAATATTTTTTAAAATCATCGTTTTGTGTGGCGAAAAAACCCCAACGCAACGACCCATTTAATGCTTCTCTAAAAAACATCTATTGAAGGTTGAATGACTTTTTTAAATGACCCTGCATTTATGTACAGACAGGTGGGTAAGGTTATTCCAAAAAACTTACCCTCCCTCCCTCCCTGGAGAACAATTAAAGACGTGTTTTAATAGATTATTTCTGATCGCGCGTTTGAAAACAAATATAAATTAAGTCGCATAAAATACGTCTTTGGATATCTAATTTTAACACCATTTATACCATTTAAAAACGACACTTTCTTAAAAACAACATATACGAAATACATTCACTAAAATTATTTAATATTTACCTCGCATTTGTTGAAATCCAATTAAATCGTTTAAATGAATTATAATTTTTAAACTACACGTATGATTCAAAATATATTCATTTCAAATATCATCTAAATATCAATTCAACAGTTGGGTCGCAAATGATTACATTACTGCACATATCTTATCAAAGTTCGGGTTTAAGGACTTTTAACATTTATATTGAAGTATATAAATCGTTTAAATCTATTGATTTAATTTTCAAAACCTTTCAACAACTTCATATTAAGCTATATTGACAGTGTTCTATGTTTATTTTCATAATTAGATTCATTAAACAATTGTAACAAAATATGGTTGACATGGGTAATTGCTTAATTGTTATTGAATTTGCATATAAAACATTTAATTTTGATAATACATATGTACTGAAATGCAAATAATTGCCTGATAAGACAGCTTTGGCAAAAAAACCCCAAACAATCCCAAGACACTCGCCATTCGATTTATGAAGATTCCGGCCCGACTCGTTTTTACATGTACCGTCATGCATTGCGGTAGGTCCTTTGAGCATTTTGAGCGAATGCATTCTGTTTCTGAGAGAAATTATTCAAAAAAAGAAACTCACAGATTTTGATAGAATAATGAAATTTTCATTATAACTATATATGATAAAAACAGATTAATATTTAATAATTAATAACACAATCAAACCAAGATAGTCCAGCTCTTTTGACTCTTTAATTCAAACTATCTCACTCGGGAGATAAAAAATAACCGATGGCTATGTGCTATGTAAACATTTGAGAACTTATTCTAATCATACTTTTGCATTCTATTCTTTTATTTTCATTATTGTAGAAAGGTTAAATTGCTGAGGTTGTCTTTTGGTGCTACACACGGAAGACAATATCTTAACTTTCTGGAGTATTTGAACTGGAAGGGGTCATATTGCTCGAATTTTAATTAACACTTTTGTATCGAGTTGAAGTGTTTAAAACTACCGCAAAGTCGCTTTGGTACGTTCTGATAAATGGAAGTACAAATAACTTAAAAGTCAAATAAAACACGAAAAGAAATGAGTTAAGTAAGATCATAAATGGTTCTGATCATTTTTATTTTATTGGAAAGGATCATTTATTTTCGAAAAAAAGATTTATAGAATTTGGGGGAAGTTGAAACACACTTATCAGAACTTTGGTCAGAAAAAACTTTCTCAGATAAAGTATAAATTACAAAATTCATATTCTGTATCTAATAAAAAGTTTCCGTGTCTAATCATTTTCATATCGTAAAAAAAAATATGGGGTAAGGGAAATAAGCGAGATTTTCTGTCCATACAAAGCAATGTATTGATACTGAAGTTCTGCTCAAGTGTGATCTTCGTACATAATAAA